TCCGTCTCTAGAGGATATATTCGAAAAATACTCAGAAATTTTTGAAGAAAGAATCGGATGTGTTCCCAATGTTGAAGTCAAACTCCAACTCAGAGATAATGAAAAACCAGTTTTTACTAGGGAACGTGATGTCCCTTTCGCATTACGAGAGAGAGTAGAAAAGGAACTTACAACCCTCGAGTCTCAAGGAATCATAACTCCAGTCGCATCAAGTGATTGGGGGTCACCATTGGTTGTTATCCCAAAGCCAGATGGAGGAGTCAGACTATGCGTGGATTACAAGTGTGGGGTTAATTCAAAACTTGTCTCATCTAACCACCCCATTCGACGCATTGATGATGTCCTACATAGTCTCCGCGGATCAAGATACTTCTGCAAGTTGGATCTTCATAAGGCTTATTTGCATCTAAAAGTCGATGAAGAGGGAAGTAAGATTCAAACAATATCAACCCATAAAGGAATGTTCAACATGAATCGTCTCAGTTTTGGAATAAAAACAGCCCCTTCTGAGTTTAATCGAATTTTGTCACAACTATTAAACGGATTATCAAAGGTAGAAGCATACTTTGATGATATCATTTGTCACGGAGAAACTCTCGAGGAGTGTATGAAGAACCTTATTGCATGTTTGGAATGTCTCAAGAAGAATGATCTACATCTTAACAGAACAAAATGTGTTTTCATCATGGAAAGTATTAATTACCTTGGACATGTGGTGTCATTCAATAAGATTCAAAAATGCCCTAAAAAGGTTGAAGCAGTTACTCAGATGCCTCGCCCTCGAAATGTTGATGAGGTAAGACGCTTTCTTGGCTTAGTTACATACTATGCAAAATTCATTCCTGACTTCTCTTCAAAAACACATCCGCTACGATGTTTGCTTCGAAAAGGAGAAAAATTCTTTTGGTCAGCTGCTGCTGAAACCTCATTTCTGAATCTGAAATCTGAACTTTGTAGTGATACAGTTCTTATCCCTTTCGACCCATCAAAACCAGTTATTCTCACAACAGATGCTAGCCCAACTGGAATTGCTGCAATACTCAGTCATGATATCGATGGTCAAGAAAGACCAATTGCATATGCATCCAGAGCATTGACTCAGGCTGAAACCAATTACAGCCAACTTGATAGAGAAGCTCTAGCAATCATCTATGCAGTCACCCATTTTTACAATTACGTTTTTGGTAAAAAATTCACTCTCGTCACCAATAATAAACCATTGTCACATATCTTTCATCCAGGACGTGCCCTGCCACGAATGACATCATCTCGCTTATTGCGTTATTCTTCATTCCTCAGTGGTCTTGACTATACAGTTCGATGCAAGAAAGGGAAAGACAATGAAAACGTGGATTGTTTGTCTCGAAGCCCAGTTCAATCATCAATTTCATCTGAACTAACATTCGACAAAGAAATAAACACAATCAATGCAGAAACCTTACTTCAAATCTCCAGCACAGTGATAACCGCAGAAGCGATCAAAGAAGAAACAGCAAAAGACCCTGAGCTTCAAGTTCTTTTGCATGAACTGAAAAATAGTCGCAAAGATAGCCCTTTGTCGATACCTACTTTATCGAATGTTAGTTCAGATGAATAGTATGTTGTCTGAGATCATGTAAGGGCTTTACATGATCTCAGACAACATACTTTTCCGATCAGATCGAGTCGTAATTCCCAAATGTCTTCAAAATCAAATTCTAAATGAGCTCCATGAATTACACCTCGGAATTACTAAAATGAAACAGCTTGCTAGAAGATATGTATATTAGGAAGGTATGGACAAACAAATAGAAAGACTAGTGAAAAGCTGTGAAGCTTGTGCTAAAGTTCGTCACAATCCACCAAAGGCTCCGGTACATCCGTGGGATCAGCCCGATGATAACTGGGAAAGAGTGCATATTGATTATGCCGGTCCATTGGATGGAAATTATTTCCTCATGTGTGTAGATGCAAAATCAAAGTGGGCAGAAGTTCGCATTCTTCGAAATGCTCCTTCCTCAGCAACGACGATGGCACTACTTGAAAACATTTTCTCAGTCCATGGGTACCCCTCGTTCTTAGTCTCGGACAATGCCACTATATTCAAAAGTGAGGAATTTATTAACTACTGTAAAGAACGGGGGATTTTTCAAAAATTTACTGCTCCTAACCATCCTGCAACGAATGGCCTGGCGGAACGAAACATACAAACCTTAAAGAGAAGACTTATTGCTGCTGCCGATGATCCAAGCCCAATTACCACAAAGCTACAAAACATTAGCCTATGTTCAGATATCGAGCAACACCTTTGGCATCAGGCAAGACTCCAGCAGAGTTGTATTTGAACAGGAAGATTCGGATTAGACTTGACACACTTCTCCCTAACCCAAAGGCAAAACTTCCATCAAAATCAATTGCACCTCTTCGCGTCCGCTCTCTTAAAGTGGGGGAGAGAGTTCAGGCAAGAGTTCACCTGGGAAGTAAAGACATATGGCAGTTTGGTACAGTCAAGAGAAAATTAGGTCAATACCATTACATTGTTGAATTGGATTCTGGACGAAGTTTAAAACGACACATAAATCAATTGATTTCGACTCTTGTATCCAAGAAGAAAGTTACATTTACAACACACAACGAACAAGATAGTTCTGTTGTTCCAAGACGGATACCTATAATAGACTGTCAAGCACCACCACAAGAGATCCACCCAGAGTCTGAATCAAGTTCAAACAATCCAACAGAACTAGAAGGTACTCTAAGGGAAGAAAATCTAGATAGACCTCAAGCCACAGAACAAAAAAGAAAATAATTAACTCGTCCTTCCAGACAACGCAAGGTTCCGTCCTATCTTAAGGACTTTGCTCTCCAGTAATTAAGTGGGGGAGAATGTTATGAACATATGAATCAGTTGTTACCATAGCAACCAAAATGTTAATCATCAAATGTTGTTTACTTTTCAATTCTGATCTTTAATATAACACAGTTACTTCTATTTCAACACTCTGTCTTTTTATATTCTAATATTTCCACTCGAAAGTCATCTCAATCAATCACTAACAACAACAACCATATGTGAAGTGACAGCAATAGGCCTATTAACTTATGCACACTCTATGGTGCAAGATCGCCGAAACAGCTGTGGCAATTATTATTGCCAACCACAAAAACAAAATAACCCTTTTAAAATGCAGTGTGATGTTTATTACCCTATCATAAACATTGTGTATCATTTCGTTTTTTGGACGGATATATCCGTCTTTAGCCCAGAAAAGAAATTTCTCGGGACGGATATATCCATATTAAGCCCAGAAAGTAAACAAAGATTGACGGATATAACTTATCCGTCCATAGCCCTGGAAGAGTTAGGCCTAAGACTTAAATAATGAAGTGCTCTTAATTTGTAATTGTATACCGGTAATCATTATTCTTAAGTTGTGAGTTGTTGACGAAAAAACTACACTTAGCCTAGCCTATCTCTCTTTTTTAAGTATGGCCTATTGACATTATACAAGACAAATAAAGACAAAACACGGTAGGCCTAGCTTATTCAAATAATAATTAGTGATGTGCGTATCGATACAAGGACCGCAAAATATCGATATTTTGTATCGATACATGGGAGTGTATCGATACACACCTATAGCCAATATCGTATCGAATATGTATCGTATTGTTTATTGATTAATATAAATCTTATTTTTATGGTAAGAAATTTGTCTTCCCATCTTCCTCCCCTCAAAAGAAGTATTTGAAATTTGATATTTTACCCTAGCATCTTCAAAAACACTGATAAAACATGTATTTTCAGCTATGTTTTGCAAATAACCTCAAAACTAGGGCCACCATTAATGGAAGTGGGGACCCTCATTGTCCATATTATACTATTTAATGTGTACATGGCATACCCACCATCATTATTAGTACTTTTTGGTTCAATTAATTATCCCTGTGTAAAAACTAGGAAAACAATAACAAAATGTTTTCCAATTTGAGGGTTTACCGGAATCTGGAGGTTATGTAGGCCTATGTATGTTTTATACAAATAAAAAGACACAAGAAGGTCTTATAATAGGCTGCACTTTACTTGACGTCCTACACTCATTCGATTGTTTTTTCGATTCGATATTTTCATTCGATTGTTTCATTCGATATATCGTTTGGTTAGTTAGGTTAGGTTAACCTTACCTAACTAACCAAACGATATATCGAATGAAGCAATCGATTAATCGATATTTTCATTCGAATGAGTGTAGGACGTCAAGTAAAGTGCAGCCCTTATAATATAATAAGTTATTAATAACCTATTATAACCCTCTTTACAAGCTCGTAAGTAACATAGTATTTGTCTATGCAGCTTGTATATATGAGATATTTTTTTTATATATAAATTATAAATAAACAATACAATACGATATTTTATCCGATACAGATAAAAATCGATACATGAGGATACGATACGATACGTACGTATCGATACACCACGTTCCAGTATCGATACATTGACCCGTATCGCCCATCACTAATAATAATATACCCTAAGTTAGTCGTAAAAGTTAGGTGAGAGTCAATAAAAATTCTTGACAGGTGCATGAGTAGTTCAAGCAGAAGACTTTGGTCCAAGATACTGTCTTCACCTATGGGAATTTACTACACAAGTTTTGACCCTGGTGTTTTTGAACCCATAATCTATGAGTCCAGCTACGCCTGTAGAAACCAAAAAGGGTGAAAGTTTCGTAACTTGGGCTATAAGATCTGTCCAACCACAAACATGAAATTTCACTTTCACCTTTCACTTAGGGCAACACATTATAATAGGCCTAACTTAGGCATAATTGTATGTGGCGCCTAGGCTAGACCTAGGTAAAACTTTCGTTTTGTTAAAATAGGACAGTTTTTGGAAAGGACTAGGCCTACTGTAACCGTTTTTGAAATCGTGGAAATTGTATTAAGATCAAGAATATGTGATGCATGTTTCTTAAATTTCAGCCAATAGAAAAATGGAATACTAAGTTAAAGCTTACCATTGCGTCCGGCAATGACAACTTGGTTATTGTCTTTATTAAGTGCAAGAGCGTTGACCGGTCCATCTTGTATAGCACAAATAGTTTTAGCTGACATTGCATCTAGTTTCTTGAAAATAGCTAGATAGTCACACTTTTACTCGTTAAATTACATTTTCGATAAATATCTGTACTTAAATCACACCAAATGTTTACACGTCCATAACCTAACAACAATAACTGTTTTTTGTTTTGTTGTGTTGTAAGTTGTTGTATGTAAGAATGGTCAAAAGCAAAGCAAAAAGCAATACAATTTTTTAATCGGTTCCTGGAACTTCGAATTCCTCCCCACCCTTTGTCAGCTAGCAGCTGTTATAAGTACCTTCTGTGCACAGCAATATTTTGTTGCATGTAGACTCTTCCTACTCATTTCCCACAACATAGGATGGACTGTAAGAAAATACCAGAGGCATTGACTATAGTCAATGTAAAGGTAACGCAACAAGTAAAAGAAGGATTTTTCCAACTAAGTGGTACTCGATCTCATGTGATGGAACTAAGTGGTGAGATGAACTCGAAATTTGAATGGTTTGTTGTAGTTTTTAGCGAATTTCCCATTTAGGGAATAAGCTATTAGTACTCATGGTAAGACCTGGACCCGGGACCGATTTACTTTTTCTTTTTGAGGTCCATAGAGACCAAAAACACCATCCGTTTAAATTCATATATATATACATATATATATATATATATACATAACATATATATTCTTGAGGAGATCTTGATAGAGTTTATGATGAAAGAAACATGAAACATTGCAAATTTTCGTTTACTATACAAACGTTTTCAAGCAAAGAGAATGAAAATGTAAAGATGAACAAAATTTGGTTTTGTTCATCTTTACATTTTCATTCTCTTTGCTTGAAAACGTTTGTATATTAAACGAAAATTTGCAATGTTTCATGTTTCATTCATCATAAACTCTATTAAGATCTCCTCAAGAATATAAAATTCATTTGGCATTTTCATCAAGTAATATAATATATATATATATATATATATATATATATATTGTTATTGTGTACATCAATGAGGGCTACTTTAAATGTTACTAAGGCCCGCTTTCCCCAAATCACGCTTAACTTGAGCTAGTTTAAAAGGCTTGAGCTTAAGCCTTAGTTCGTTTTCTCCATGTCCACGGATAAAAGGTTTAGTTTAAGCGCCGGTTTGTCTTGGTTGGCTACCCTGTTTGTTTTGTTTTCTTGTGGATTGCATTAAATCAGCTGTCAAAAGTTATGTTTATGTTGTATTAAATATTAAACGAGAGGTTAGGATATAAAGATAGTGTTACAACTTCTGCCGAGGTTTAACTACATTATTAAAGCTCAATTTAATATTTCATTAGTAATTCATCTTGGTTATCTTTTTTTAAGTTTTTTTTTAGTTTAGTAGAAGAATCTGAAGTGATGGAAGAATCTAAAGACATGAAAAGAAGTAAAAACTTCAAAGATAGTGAGGTGGATCTGTTATTGAGTTTGGTGGATATGAAGAAAGGTGTATTAGAAGATAAAAAGACAGACAGTACTACATTTAAAGAAAAAGAAGCTGCCTGGAGAGAAATTGAGAAAGACTTCAACATGAACAGTGGAATTTTCTATAGGGACACAAAAACTCTGAAGAAGAAATATGAAAATTTGAAGAAAAATGCTAAACGTAAGTTTGCTGACGAGAAGAAGTATGTTTTGGGGACTGGTGGTGGTCCCAGCCAGGTATCTGAGGTGACAGATATAGATTTCCGTATTAGGGACATAGTTGGCGAGGTAGCCATACATGGAAAAAAGTCATCTTTTGACTCTGATGCTGGATTAGAAGTTCAGGATGAAGAAGACTTTGATGTCCTAAACTTACCAGTCCTATATGAAGACGACTTGCATCAGAATACACCAGAATACTTGCAGACAACAGTCACTGGCACTGGCAGCCTTCCTGCAGATAGCCAGAGCAATGTTGTATGCCTAGACTCTAGTAGGCCTGGTACAAGCTGTGGCAAGCTCAAGATTGATAGAAGTCTGTTAAAATGTTCACCATCTAATGACAATAAAAGCATTGGCCTAGTCAAAACAACTCCAAAACAAACACCTTCTGAGGAAACTGGCTTTGATCAAACATTTTCCATAAAAAACTTGCGGACCAAAACATCGTCAACTATTGCATTTCGAAAGAAAAAGGCGGCTCATCCACTAGACAATACTGTAGCGGGTAAGAAGATTGATTTGCTCACCATAGCTAAGCAAGAGCTTATCGAGCTACAAAAGAAGTGTCTGGAACAACAAATGCGTTTTCAAGAGCAGGAACAAGAACTGCGAACAAAAGTGTATGAGGGAGGAACATAAAAAAAATTAACTTACTGGATTTGCAAATCAAGAAAGAAGAATTGGCCTTAAACAAGTTTTCAAGTTCAGTGTAATCCCAAAACAACCTGCTTAGGCTTAGTAGGTGTTAAATTCATTTGTCTTGTTCACGTAATTATGTTTAAAGCACAGTAGGCTATAAATATCTTTAGGCTAATTTTAGTAGTTGTCTTTCGCAGTATTTGTTTAGCCTAAGTTATCTGGTAAATACAATTTATATTCAAAACTTAAGCTGATTTGTTCTCTTTTTCAGTCCACACATTTCATACTGTAATATATTTCATAATAACTATGTCAAAAAGTTATAGGCAACACAATTAATTATTATAACAACATATTTATTAAGGAAGACTTTTGATATAAAATATTATATTTAAAACAGTTTCAGAACTAAACACAAAATATAGTAGCGCTACATAGCCTTAAACAAGGGCAATTTTGTAACGTTGCTAGTAATGTTTAAAACAAGGGGAAATCGGACTGATCACCCGATAGGAATTATTGCTGTTTGGAGGGACGCCTTCAACTGCCCCAATACACAATATTACTAGTAGGTCTTGCAATTGCCGCCTCTCCACTGAAGGAGCAAGATAAATTCAATCTGTAGCCAAGGGAGCTACACGTGCCGACCATCAGTAGCCCTCAGGTTTCAGGTTGTCACTAATTTCATCTCATCCAACAAAAAGTCAATATTTTAGAGAAGACCCCTGAAATAACCTGAAATCAAATTATTCCGAGTTATAAGATTTATGTCTCGAACGGTAAGTCTTCTGTTCTGTGGTTGTCCTTGAGGTAGTTGGTGAAACACAACTGCTTCGAGAGCTTCAATGGCATTCATGGCTTCTTCATTGACTTCGGGGACATCTTCTCGTTCTTGTATGCAAATATTATGCAGAACAGCACAAGCAACAATGATACTTTCAACTCTATCTATCTTGAGTCGAATTCCTAGGGCCAAAGCAGGAAACCTTCTTTTCAAAACGCCAAAGCAACGTTCTATGGGATTCCTCGTCCTTACTTGTGACTCTTGGAATAATCTCTCCTCTGGAGTATTCACTACCTCTAATGGGGTTATCAAAAAATTCGTGCAACCATAACCACTGTCACCTACCAAAACATGGTTCCCATAAACATTGCTTTCCAAGTCTTTCTTTACTTTAGAAGAGTTAAAAATATGTGAGTCGTGAGTTGACCCGGGCCACCTAGCAACAATGTTCCGCAAGGACAATGAAGAGTCACAAATTCCCTGTACATTCATTGTAAAAATGCCTTTCCGATTTCTATATAATTCGGCATTTTCACCACCAGGTGACTGAATTTTTATGTGTGTGCAGTCCAATGCCCCTACACATTTAGGAAATCGAGCCTTCTCATAAAATCCACTTGAAACTTTCTGTATTTCCTCATGCTCAACTGGCATTTTGATTACCTGAGGACAGAGCTCAGCTAGAGCAATGGACACTTGCTTAACCACTTTACTGGCTGTTGAGTAGTGAATGCCACCTAACTCGGCTATGTTAATTAAGAATGTCCCTGATGCAAAAAAACGTAAAGTTGTTAACACTTTCACTGCTGGAGACAATGCACGGTTTTTGTCCGTACGTGAAGATATTCTATTTTGTATCATTTCAATAATAATATTGGCTGTTCTTTTGTGAATTCGAAATCTGTCAAAGAAATCCAGTTCTTCCCACTTTTCAAAATGGTCAGTTCTAAGCCTGAAAATAGTTGGGCCCCTATTTCTCGGTAAAATGGCATAAAAATCTTCATCTTCAACTTCACCTATAACTTCCAATATTTCTTCCATTATAGCGTACCGGTAATAATTAAATTTCAAACAGAATCTACTAGTTATTGAGAATAAAAATCTATTTAACAAGAAACAATTTTAGGGTTATATTATTGTAAAACACAAACACACCAGCTGTTCTTCTTCTTCCATGCTGAGCTTAAATTAAGCCTTGAGTTAAACCTACTGTACAGGTGGCTTAAAATGTTCTTCGGCTTAAGCCTCATTCAAAGAGTGGGGAAAGTCAATATTGAGCTTAAGCTGTTACTTAAGCTATACATCTAGCTTAAGCGGCGTTGGGGAAAGCGGCCCTAAGTAAATCAAAAAACCACAGTACCCTAAAATAAAATGTTTTAGGGTACTGTGGTATTTTGATTTACTTAGTAATATATATATATATCCGTTAGCGTGATAACTCGAGCAAAAATCATCCGATTTTGATGAAATTTGGTACAAACGTGTATACCTAAGTTTATTCAAACGAGTTCGCGAACCAGCATGATCGCACTATGGGAACAGGGGTTTATGGGGGTTTTATGGGGCAAAAATTGTTTTTTCCCATTTTTGACCCTAAAAACTTAAAATTTAGCATTTTCTTTCCTAACCATTTTGTAGAGCTTAAAAAAACAAATAATTTAGTATATTGAAGCGTTATTATGCGCCTAATGGTTACGGAGAAAATTCCAAAAAACTGTAAATTTAAAATTCCCATCATGTTATTCTTATGGAGAATGAGTAAACTGTTGTAGTTTGCTTGTTTATGATCATACTTTGATAACATTTGGAATATGCATTAATTTAATACTAAACTACTAACATTTTACAAATAACACCTTTTTACCCACCCTGTTCCGTTGTAGCAAACCTAAGTACCATTAAACTAATGTTAGGGAATAAATGTGATATTTTTATGGAGACATTTTAGTGTTAATCCAATCAGGCAAATGGAAATTTGCTTAGTCTGCAGGTTTTCTGCGGCTGGGGTATTTTATAATTGTAACAATTATATACCGTTCAATTATTGTAACACAATATTAATTGAATCGGTTCCACTAATTAACTAAAATTAATCACTTCGTAAACAATAAACATATACTCCCTTATATTAGCGAATTTCCCTATAGGGAAAAGTAGTTATTACACCGTAGGTGGCACAGTAAGACCTAGGCCCGGAACCGATTTACTTTTTTTCATTTAGATGTCCCCAGAGGCCAAAAACACCATCTGTTCAAAACTCCATGTGTCTGTGAACGTGATAACTTGAGTATCTCAGCCTGATTTCGATGAAATTTGGCTTGAAGATGTAGGACAGGATAAACTTGGATGAGTTCACCAAGTTTGCGAACCAATGATCGAGCAATGGGAACGGATTTTTTGGGGGTTTTGGAGTAAAGATTGGTTTTCCTCCTTTTTGACCCCCAAAACATACAATTTCCCAATTTCTCTTTAAACCATTTCAAAGAGCTTAGCAAAATATAATTTAGTAATTGAATTGTTTTTTATGGTTATTCAAATCAAATAATTTTTATTATCATGGACATTTATCTGGCTATATGCATTAACTACTGACGATGTCATTGAAGCAGAACATAAAATTTCAATGTGCATTGTCTAAATATTCAGAGTTAGGTATGAGTGGCTAGGAAAGTCTGTTGAATTATTAATACAAATTCCTTTCAACTAGGCCTACAGGGTTAACAATCACAATTGAGTCAATAGACTATAAAACAAATTAATGATTAACAAAATTATAGAAAACAAAAATATACTATAATAGAAGTATTTAGAGGTTTAAAGTTACAGACTTATCACAGAGGTTGTTCCAGGAACTCTTTAATAGTGTAAAAAGGGTTTCATACTTATTTACATATTATATTAGCCTTATTATTACCTTTCTAACATTATTATAACAACATGATTATTTTAAATATTTGCTCGAACAAAACGTAGTAAGCCTTGAAGGTAACCGTTGATTTCGACGGGTTTCACCTAGGGTAACTTATTTGACCCCTTATTGTGTATTGTGTAGGGATCTTCATTCAGGACTATGACTGGTAGTGTTTTTAAAGAATAAATAACAAAATATAAACGTTAGCAAGCAGTACTTAATTATTGATTGAAAAAAAGCAAAATATGCCATTCGGATATATTCTAGCGAGTTACACAGTGTTTCAAACTCGATTGTGTGTTTTTTTTTTGTTCTTTATAACATATCAGAGCTTGCAATGGATGGAGATAAATTAATTCTTTAGCTATTATTTAAAAGCTAAAACCAAATGTGAAAAGACTAATTTACGGATTCTCAAAATGGTTTTGTAAATACTCAAAGAAACAATTACAAAATTTCAGTTCATCCGAGGGCGTAGTTTGGACATTTGTGTATATATTAATAATGTCACACCAGAAATAAGGTTCTTTTTTGTAGGATCATGTTTACTTGGTAACCAGCCAGCCGGTGGTACCCTCTTGAGGGAATATTTTAGTAGAAATCCAGCCAGGTTAGTGAAATATGCTTAGTCTGCAGGTTTGCTGCAGCGGGGGGTATTTTTAAAATTAAATTCTTTTAAAATGTATTGAAATATTTACATTTTGGAACATTTACTCGAGATTACAATCATGTTTTTAAACTAATATCTAATTTTTTTATTATTAGGCAAGTAATTCCCGTAGTTTAATCAATTTCATTCAATTCCAAACAATCCTAAAATTATAAGGATATAATACAAAAATACCTAATCTAAATTCATCCTGTTTTATTTTAAAATGCCATCTTAAATAGTGAACAAAAGTCGCAAAGTCATACAGCAAGACAATAGGTAGGTACTGTACTTCAACCTTTATCTAGGATCCAGATAAGGATTGAAGTGGAAAGCATTTTCTAGTGATAACTGAGATATCTTTCCAAAGCTGCCAGTTGAGCCTGTTAGTGTGTGTTAGTGCTGCCATTGTGCAATACTGGTTGTCTGTGAGTAGATAATTATAGACTATTGTTTCATTCATTCAGTTCAGTTGAGCTATTTTAGTACATCATTGTACATCGGGTTTTCTTGTGCTATAATGTCAGTCACCTTGTTAAAGGAGGTTATACTGCCAGCAGCATGTTCAAAAAACGGATTCAAGTTAATTGAATGCTCATTGGATTCTGAATACAAAGGAGGAGACCAGTTTCAATCTAACGTTGTGTTTGTAACAGCCACAGTACTAGAGGGAAGTAACAAAAAGGACCTCCCATTGGTGGTAAAATTTGAACCTTTTGACAAAGAAATACAAAGAGAGCTGAGAACAGCTATTCAATTTCACAACGAGGTATTAGTGTACAACGATCTATTACCATTGTTAAATAAATATAATAAGATTACACAAATATTCCCAAAATTTTACCATGGCATAAGTACATTGACTTTGCCCGAAGACGATGTAATAGTCATTGAAGACTTGAGACCTAAGGGCTTTCAAATGGCAAAGCAACGAGTAATGTTGGACTACGAACATTTGAAGTTGGCAATGGAAAAGTTAGGAATTTACCACGCTTTGTCATATATAACAAAACACGAGAGACCAAATGAATTTTACAATCTTGTCAAAAATCTGAAGGAAACCACCTGGATAGATGATGGTTTGGTAATTTCCCCAGTCATCAAGCATGCCTTCCACAGAGCAATGGATCCTTTGATAGCAGCTGATAAACATTCTGCGATATTGCAAAAAGTACTCTCCCGAGTGGACGAAAGTGTTGTGAAATTCCTCCTGGAACTAGTTCATCCTGAAGAACCTCTGGCTGTCTTGTGTCATGGTGATTTCAACAGGAACAATATGCTCTTTAAGTACAACCAGGACGTCCCTGAGAGTGTAAGGTTCTTTGACGTCGCCACTGCTCGATACTCTTCACCATCAATCGATATTGCGTTCCTCCTATTCATGAATTCCACCAAGGAAGTAAGGTCAGCTCACTGGGATGATTTACTCTCAGTCTACCACCAGTCTTTGACCAATAATCTTGGTGCCATTCATGGACCTTCGATGCAACAACTACAAGAAGAGATGAGGCTGAAAGGAGTCTACGGTTACGTTCACGCGTCGTTCTTCCTCCCCATGATGCTGTTTGAGAGTGACTTTACAATGGATGATCTTTTGAACTTGTCTCCCGAGGAAGTCGCAGTGAAGCAGGCTAAGATCGGAGGAGAAGAAGGAACAAAGATGTTGATGGAACTGGTGGAGGAGCTGGTTAGTAGAGGATGTCTCACTTTGGATCATCCGTTTTTGATGCAGTAAGAAATATAGTCTTGTTTTATGTGAACAATGGTTTCAATTAATTTTATGTTTTTAAAAATTTGCAAAAATATGTTTGACCAACAATGTAATTTAATTTCCTGTAGAGAAAGACCGATTTTCCAATCTTCTTTAAGAAAGTGATATATAATTTTTGAAAATTAAGTATAATTTGTAGACTTGTTTTGATTTTTGTTTTAACCACATAATAGAAAACGAAAATAAAAATAATATTTATTTTTCTTCTCGTGTTTTTGACACTTTTTCATTTGTAAAAGTTGTACCTAATTTACTTACAATACCCATAAAAATATATCAACTCTACTAAAAATTAAGACTTTTATTTAAAAAAATGGTAATAATTTAATCTAACCCCACAAAGAGGTTACAAAAACAATTCTGATATTTTTTCTTTGTTTTACAACCTTTTGAATGTAAAACAGGTTGAATTCATCTTTTGGTAATATTGGAAACATTGTGAAAGTTTTATTTTAATTGGTATTAAGAAGTTTAGGCTTTGCAAAAGGTACATTTGTTACAATAGTCGTTTAACAGTAAAGTTATTCAAAAAGTGCAATGTATTACTTCTTATTTAACCTTGGACAACTATTTCTTTACAAAAAACTGGGTTAAGAGTGCATGTTGATTCTTAAAATCTCCCTTTTTTCGTTATTTTAAAGTCAAATGAGGTCTAATATTATCTTAACTGTATCTAATATTCAATTTTAAATTTTCCTCATTCGTAAATGTAATTCCAAAGCCCCCTGCCCTGTGTTGGCAAAACAATTTGATGTGAAAAAGTTAAACTTACACGTCAAAATGACAGTGTGTCTATGTAAAAATGTTCAAAATGGTTTGAGTTCAAGCATAGACAAAGAGAATTAAATATAGACTGTCAGCCGTGCAGTGGTTACCATGGTTACCATAGGTTTTCCGGGGCACACAGCTGGGAGCTGGGGTTCGTATTTACGTAGAGCGTAGGCCGTAACTAAATGGCCCTCCCAGTGGTGTGCGCCAGAACCTATGGTAACCGCAGCACAGCTGACGGTCTATATTTAATTCTTTTTGTAGTAATTTTATAGTAATTAATTACAGTATGTGGGAGTATCATCTCAGTTCAATAATCAGCTGTTTTGACAATTCTGACAAAACCTGAAGCCAAATTCAATGAGTGTAATGAGCTTCGTTGGTTGATTAAGTTAAAGATAGAAATTGTGTAACATCAATATAGTATTTATTTCAAAATAAGTATAAAAGTATAAAACTAGATTGCAATATGCGTTTAAAACATATAAGATAACGGATAAAATTGTTACTCTATAACAATAAATTGATTCCATTTGCACACTGCAATGTTGTATATGTTTGGAACACTTGAGTGAGTAGTTGCCATTTTTTACACATACTTTCATTATTATTTATTTCACCCAGTTCAACACAGTGTATAACTAACTTCAACTATAATTTAATTTAACTATTTTGAATAGTAACAATATTAATTTTATAGACTACAGATTTATAACAAATGAAACTGTGTAAAATTCACAGGTAACAGAATACAGTAGCACCAGGAGGAACTAGAGGCTATAAAAATACTCAAGCAACGAATTAAGTTAAAAACAATCTTAAGTTCTTAATCCAACTTTGGTATTGTACTATATTATCAATATTCTCACTATAAGGCACTATCACTATATCACTATATTTCTAAAAGGCATCACTTTGTTACTTAACAATAAATTTTAAAGTTTACAACATTCCAAATTTAATGATGACAAAGCACAAGTAATTCTTCTATTAATTATTGATTCTTATCAACTACAATCGTAGTTGGAACATTATTACTATCCTGTGTTTTTATAAAGCTACTCATTCATAGAATAATGTTAGTACTTTACCACCAATAAATCTCTAGAAAAAGTTTAAAAATCTATAAAACAATAATTATTTAACATCTAAGTGAGAAAATACAAACAACATTCATAAAATACAATAAATAATCTTAGCATGTAAAAAATAAACAAGTAACAAGGTAAGACTACTACTAAGGTTATTTAGGTTATTCTCAAAATCACAGTTACGTGTAGAAATCACAGTTGATCTGAGCATCTCTGCTCTGTTCATTACGCAAGGCAGGTGTGGATATATCTAACCGTTGAATCCCAGCCACACGTGAGCCAGCATCAGATAGGCTGTTGCGATCACAAGGCTCCACAACATAACAGGAAACCCTATTCTGTGGAATAAAATTTAATTTCAGTATTTCATGACTAAATTAAGTTTAAAATATCTTTTTATTCAGCATAACCTTGCATCTTTTATTGTATGCTGATTGGTGTAAGTAAGATAAAAAAATATCTATATATTAATAGGCAAGCATGTTTCATTAAAACCTTTTTCTCATCTCTTGAGCATCTCAGGGGAAATCCATGAATACTGATAGAAAGATATTTTCCTTTAGATGTACAGAATTCTTTATGGTCGAGTTTTCGACCATTGGACGACCTCTAGTTTAATTTAATGATGGACATAGCTATATTACAATTTACTCTGATACAAGGCTGTAAAAATAAATAAAATACCCCCGCCGCAGCAAACCTGCCGACTAAGCGAATTTCCATTTGTCTGAATTGATTTTCAGTTAAATATATTTTAATAACATTAGGTTTAACGAGTACCTAGGTTTGCTGCTACAAGGAAACTAATAAAGTGTGTTTTTGAGTAAAATATTGATAGCTTAGTACAAAATAAATAAATTTGCCAAGTTTGATCAAAATATATTCATAAACAAGTAAACTACAACATTTGACAATATTCTCCATAAGAATAACATGGGAATTTTAAATTTACAATTTTTTAATTTTCTCCGTTACTAATAATCGAACAAAAATACTTTTATATACTAAATTATTTGTTTTTTAAGCTCTTTAAAAAGGTCTAAAGAGAAATTGGGAAATTTTGTGTTTTGAGGGTCAAAAGTGAGAAAAACCGGACGCGTTGCAGAAAGTCAACAGTCCCGGAAGGTCAAATAATTTATACCTGTGCCGCTAGGTCAAAAACTACAATGTTTGCAGTGTCTGTAGATCAAAAATCCCAGTAAGTCAAATAGTACAGTCCGGGCTAAAAACGTAGTCTATGTTAAAGCAATTGACTTATTGGGAATTTGACCTAATGCAACAGCAGTTTTAACATAACGAAATAAGATAAAATATAAGTTCAGTTTCGCTGAGTCAACAGTGCCGGAAGGTCAAAAGTATAATCTGTTAAAAACAACGATAGTCCTCTCGACGCATGACTTCAATAATTTCGTGTTTTGGTGTACCTACTTAAAGTTGTGCTAAAATTTTGAAATTTGGCACAGAGCTTCTTGGTTAGTCCTACTCGATGACTATTTTGTTGGAACTTTAAACTATTTACCGATCTAATTAATAAAAATTGAAAAATGTATGGTGAAATAGTTTTAAATCGTGATTTCTAACATGAAAAAGTTAGCATGCGAGATTTTTTTTGTTTTTGGGTTAGAGAGGTTTTGTCTGTGGCAAAGTTGTAGCTAAAAGTGTGGTGCGTAAAATATATATTTTTTAAATTTTTTACAATCAGTGGTTCAATAGATAACTTGGGTTGAAGAGGACGGCAAATTTAGCATTTCGCAACGCATGGAAAGAACTACATCGTACGATGGGACTGCTGAGTGGACTTTTAATTTACACTTCTAAGGACAAGAAAAATATGAATATACAAATCACCAGTTCATTCATATTATTTATAAAACATCTTTCTGTATTACCACCTTACACTTTTCACTTATATTAATAAGAATACATCATAAACAGGGTGTTAGAAATAAGCGGGGAGATATTTTACCTAGTAATTCCTTGGGTCAAAATAAACAGAAAATGAAGGATACCGTAACATTTTTTCCAAAATCGTTTCGTTAACCAGATATCCGCCATTTTGTATTTTTTACATACAAATATTTATCTTTACACTTTTCCAATCGATGTTAATGAAACTTGGTATGTATGTTAAGGTAGGAGAGACCCATGTTATTAAAAAAGATTCATCTCTATTAACCTTAAAATTTCAAAATTTAACACTTAACTACAATATAATATACTTTACCACACCACAATATTTACGTATCACCATATAAATCTTTAATAAAATAAAACGTTCACATTTTTAAAATCCAAAGTAAATCAATACAATCTTTCTTTTATGAAAAATATAGTAAAAAAATATGGCGATGTTAAAATAACGACAGGTGAGTTTCGATCTGGGTGTTTCAGGTTTGAACCTAGGAGGATTTAACATTAATTAACATTATAGTTTAATCCTCCTAGGTTTGAACTGATTGAGAGGAATACATGAAACCGAAGGGGGAGGGATCACAAGTGCATTAGTACTTACTTTGATGGATTTAACAAAAACCTTTTCTATTTCACTTATTTTCAGCTGTTTAATTTCAAACGATACGTTTTAGCTACATCATTAACATGATTATCATCATCATCATCGTTTGAGTTTGGGTTTGCGGCAATGTATTTTTATGAATAAAACCTTTAACTTGATACCAAACTTGACCTCTGTTGCTATTAATTGACTGTATGGACTATTAATTAACACGTTGAGTGCGGGCATCATCAATAGATGATGTCCGACACTAGCACTGGTGGCGGACATCAGCTAAAGCTGACGACATGCCACTCTCTCCACATTAGTTTAGTGTGAGCTCAGCCATTGCCGGGGAACGTTATAATCGTTGCCAGCCTGTAGCTTAGATTATGTAGCTTTAGTCTGGTGTAGGTTGGTACTAAAATTACCCGTAAAATCCCGTCTAGCAATACTTTTGTCCCGGTTCCGGCAATTTTCTCTTTTCGAGCCACTTTACAAAGACACTGGCTACGAATCCAGGCAGTGCTGCTACCTTTGGGTGTTTCAGTGAACTACGTCTACTCTCGGGCTAACACAGCACAATAACCGCTGCTCTTTTTTTATTCGTCAGACTGAAATATTTGAATGCCAATTGCGTTCACCGATTCAGTTGCGCTGCGGGGCTTCGCCCGGGCCTCGCCGCCATTATCGAGCGCCTGTTTGAAGGTATTCCGCACTGAACGTGTTAACAGCTGTGGACAACCTTATACGAGTGTGAGTAAGTCCGAAAACAGAGTAAGTCCGAAAACAACTCTAAAAAACAATAAGCAATAAATTGCAAGAACCGTTGCTTATATCATTGTGTGTAAACCACATACAGTACACCTGTATTCTATCTATTTTACCTTTTATTTTTCCAAGACTTTATAGAAAATCACGCATTACGTGATCAGTGAAGAAAGGCTGTATCCCATGTGTTTTATAGGTAAAGAAGACAAGGGCGGTCCTAGACATATATTTTGGGGGGGTCACCGGGGGCCTGGGGGGTATTGAATACCCCCCAAAAAGGAGGGGGGTCCTGGGGTTCCCCCCCGGGGAAAATATATAAATAAATAAATATAGGCTATACAGGTGATCAACTCAAGGAGGCCACCATTGGGATATCGGAAACGGTAAGAATTAGAGAAAACTTAAAATGGGGGACATTCCTTTATTTTTTGTGGCAGTTAAAAATATGATTTTAGTTTCTTTTTTTTACTCAGCCGCCATTTTCCAAAATGGCGGCCAAATTTGAAATTTCTTATGGAACACCCTATATTTTATCATGTTTTCGGATAGAATAGGCAATTTAAAAACTTTTTTATCCTTGACATTTTTTCGATAAACCCACTCGTTTAGGAGTTACAGCCTATGGAAAAATGACTTCCGGTGTACATTTTACATCATGTAACTCCGAAACAAGTAAGTTTATAGCAAAAATGCGAAGAGTAAAAAAGTCTTACAATTGCATCCACATTCCAATAAAGACCATAAAATTCATTAAAAATATGAATTATATTATTTTAAAAATGGCGGCAAACTTGAAAAGTGGAAAACTTTTTATTTTATAGTCTTTAAGGAATGTAGATGCAATTCTAAGACGAATTTACTTTCTGCAATTTTGCTCTAAACTTACTCGTTTAGGAGCTACATGATGTAAAATGTACACCGGAAGTCATTTTTCCATAGGCTGTACTCCTAAACGAGTGGGTTTATCGAAAAAATTTCAAGGATAAAAAAGTTTTTAAATTGCATATGCTATCCGAAAACATGATAAAAAAACTAAAATCATATTTTTAACTGCCACAAAAAATAAAGGAATGTCCCCCATTTAAAGGTTTCTCTAATTCTTACCGTTTCCGATTTCCCAATGGTGGCCTCCTTGAGTCGATCACCCTGTATATATGAATTTGAACGGATGGTGTTTTTGGCCTCTAGGGACCTCAAAACTAAAAATTAAATCGGTCCCGGGTCCAGGTGTTTAGTAGCTTATTCCCTATATGGAAAATTCACCAAAAACCTAATAGTTATATAGAACAATATTACATTCAACCAGCTGTTGGTTAAAACAAATTATATGGGACTAAAACAAATCAATGATTACAAAGATTCCTTTAAAAATTAATTTGAACATCCTACTAGTTTACTATGCATATTTAATTAATCTGTCATCCTCATACCTAAGAATTGAATGTATCAATGGTCAGCATTACACATAGTATAAATAAGTCAACTCTAAATATGTCTTTAAATTTGTGTCACATATGCTGAATGTTTACAGCTGTTATGTTAAGCAAATTATATTGAATTAAAAGCTAGCTTAGAAGGTTAGCGTCGGCTGCTAGACTTTAAAAAAATTAAAACTTAATTTCTAAAAAACTGGTACCCTTAATTATAATTATGGCTTTGAAATTCCCTGGTTCTCAAAATTATCTTTCTTTCAACACAAAAATAATGAAAATCCGTCGACTGGTTGATTCAGAATGTGAAAAACCCCATTTACGTTTTAATAATATATATGATAGTTTGGACAGGTTTCAACCCTTCCGAGGCGTAATACGTTTACACAGTTTATGTGTAGACTACATTATAACTCATAAAATAGTTCTAAAATTAAATGGATCTCCTTTTACAAACGTATATAACAACCAGAAATTTTCAAATCGCCCTTGCGTGTATTTCATGCCACAAATTTTGACGAAAGGCTTTTTATTACATAAACTATACCTATTTACAGTGTTGACCAAACAGTTGGCAAGAAGCATTAATAGATAAGCTATGTACCAAATATGATAATTTTAGCTTTATTCTAATTATGACAAAACACGAAGTAACTAAAAGCGAGTTTTGTTGGTGTAGTAAGCGTTGCAGGAGGTCTACTTTATACTGAATCGACGTTCACTTTTATTGCTTTTGATCTTCCGGCACTTTTGACTCAGCGAAACTGAACTTGTATTTTACCGTATTTCGTTATATTAAAACTGCTGTTGCATTAGGTCAAATTCCCAATAAGTCAATTGCTTTATCATAGACCACGTTTTTAGCTCGGACTGTACTATTTGACTTACTGGGAATTTTGATCTACAGACACTGCAAACATTGTAGTTTTTGACCTAGCGGCACAGGTATAAATTATTTGATCTTCCGGGACTGTTGACTTTCAGCAACATTCCCGAAAAACCTATTTTTACCCCATAAAACCCCCCGTAGAGCCCCGTTCCCATGGTCCGATCGTGCTGGTTCGCGAACTCATTCAAGTGTATCCCGCTTTACACCTTTAAACCAAATTTCATCAAAATCGGACAAAAATTACTCAAGTTATCGCGTTCACGGACGTATATATATATATATATATATAAGTCTATATATATATATATATATATATAAAAATTTGAACGAATAGTGTTTTTGGCCTCTGGGGACATCAAAATGAAAAAGTAAATCGGTCCCGGGTCTAGGTCTTACCGTGCCACCTACGGTAATAGCTACTTCCCTAAAGGGAAATTCGCTAACAGGGTTAACATAAAAATTAATTTTAGAGGTGCGGTCGTAATGTGTATACCCTAGATTTGAAGCGTACGTTCATCAATGAACGTAACATAGCCAGAGCAACATAAATGGAACAGAGAGAGTGTCGCTGATTGTTTGCAGCTGTGAAGGGACTTTGGGGAGTGGAGGGGATTGCCACACTATTGGTCATTATATATCAACACTTTACAACCAGAATAATGAGGTATTTTGGAATTGCAGAGTTTCATTACTTAATTTTTCCATTGCTAATGCAGATATTAGTTATTAAAAATTATTGTTTTCACAATAAAAAATCATTCACATTTGAATTTTGCTGTTTTATTTCTCCATTATTTTACAAACTTAGAGAAGATTAAGTAGTGTGTTGTATTTTCATGATTGGTTGTCAGAATTAACAAATGAAGGTTAAATTATTCATATAATCATTACTTACAGAAGTTCTCACACTTTGTTAAACGCTTATCGTTATCATGTTCCAGAAACAATAATATTGTTCTTCTTAAATGTTGTGGCAAATGCATTCAAAGACTGAAAGACTAAATTTTCAAGAAAATCATTGAACTTTCACACTATCTGTACTATAATTTAAAAAACTAACTTCCGCCTATTAAAATTACTTTGTAATGTTAAAAAATATTACGCTAAAAGATAAATCATCAAATTTTTATGTCGATGCATTTTATTAGGTATTAACTTAATTCGTTTGATAGTTCCCATTTTATTGATTTTAATTATGACCAATAAATCAAATCAGGTCAATAGAAAAAAAAAACATAGGTACGGTACCTTGAAAATTCCATGAAGGTGAACTTGTATCCATGTCTTTCAGCCACACAGGCACAGACTAGATTTGAGGAAGCTCCGATCAACGTCCCGTTTCCTGTAAAGAGATAAGTAAAATATATTATGTTATTATTGTATGAAACTAGTTGTACTCAATATCAGCTACACATATTGGTTTTAAACGTTCATATGTTTATAAAACTAATATTTATAATATAGTATATACATAAGCCTATTTAGAATATTTTCAAGTTCTCTTATAAACTAGAAAACAACAAGCAATATGAGTGATGCTAGAAAATATTTCAGTACTCTTTATTTATTTTGTGTAATATTTTCTGTTAATAGAATATAGAAATACAGTATGCTAAATAAACACTTCCACCACAGAAAACCTGTAGACTAAGCAAATTTCCATTTGCCTGATTGGATTTTCACTCAAATATCTCATTAGGGAAGGGACCTTAAAACGAAAAAAGAAATTTATTCTCGGGTCTAGGTCACTAGGTCTTACCATGAGACCAACGTTATATAATTTATTCTCTATATAGAAAATTCGCTAAAATCATAACTTATATATTTTTTTAAATTGAAGTCACATGGATAACAAATTCCACAATGACTGCATGTAGTTTAAGTTGTTATTGCAGCAGCATAACGAATAATAGATGTTCAACATTATATAAGGCTTCAAATCCATCAAACTATACCTAATAAAGCTTCTTACCATAACGAAGGAGTTCCTCGTGCGTTTGACCAACACCATTTCATCTTATTTACATTACAACACGGCCTTAATAACTCTCACTAAGGATAAATTTGCATTTCCAAAAGATTAAATAACTCTCAAGAGCCTACCTCCAAGACAAGAGCCGATGGCCAAGGACCACACCAGTGGCTGCAGTGGCAGACCCAACTCTTCGTTCTGACTGAGACTGACCACTATCCGGACCATCATTGTGGTCAGAGGGATGTTGTCCAGGAAGGAGGAAGTGAATGCTGAGACCCACAGGATCAGCCAGATACTCGCGGCCAGACGGTATTCCGGGTGAACAGACTTGACTACCTGCTCTGTCTGGTGTCCGATGAAGTCTATTAGCCCCAGGCGGGAGAGACCCTGGAAATAGCAGAAAGACTAGAAAACAATAATAGTGACAAGTTGCCTGCGTTTACCATCATGTTATGCCATAGAACCATAACCCCATGTTCCCATTGCTGTAAAAATTACGGTTCAAACGTTATTGAAACATTTGTGATTTTTTATTTTCCATATAAAACTTCATAGCTACTCCCACCCATGATAAAGGTTGTTGACAAGCTAATGGAAGAAAGTATGTGTCAGATTTATGATACCTTTTACTTTTTTGGTTCTTCTGTTGCAAAGCACAGGTAAATAAACTAGTACCCGATAAATATCCTACACACCTCCATTAAAATGAAAAGTGAGGTGAAGAACAATAACGTGCTCCACTCGACGCGAGCTAACACGTCGACAATGTCCTCCCGGTCGAGCAGTAGCAACAGGAGAGCTCCAAGGAAAGCAATGCTGCCCATGGACAGATGTAGCTCCAGCATAGACTGTAGAGCGAACGTGACGATCACGAACATCAGCGCAAGAGTCGACTTTAGCAACAGCGGCTTGTCTCTGATGGGGAACTGAAATGAGAAAATAGTGTTAGGGAATAAAAATGAGGAATATACTTTAGGCTAAAGTAGACACCACATTTATAAATCCATGGGTAAGCTTTAACTAATTTTTTAAACTCAAATAGAACCTACTTTAATGAGGCTCTCATAGATTGCCCTAGTGTTGTAACTCTGAAGTTTTACTCCCCTTTAAAAGATTTGAGTAGCAAATGGCAAATGGCTTAGAGCAAAATAAAAAAGTGATCAAATAGTAACCACTGGTGTTAGTAACCATGGTTGAGAGGATAAACAAGGAAATTGCATTCCTTCTCTAATAGAAAGTCTAACACACAAAATATAAATTTTTTTCACATTCACAATTAAATGGATGGTAATTTTACAATGCCAATGATAGTAGCTAACTTAATTGTTTATTTTTTCATCGAAAAATGCTCCTATTTCATATTTAACCAATTGATAACGACTCGTATGAGTAGCAAATCCCTGCTTTTGCGGTAAGATAGCCCACTGAGCTAACCAACCATAAGTAGTTTGTCGAATCTAACCTGCGAGCGTTAGTGTTGTCGTGTGCTTATAGTATAAATCGACCTTTTCATCTGACGGCAGCATGATGAGTGTAGTGTCTTTCTACATCACATCCACAGGTTTGAATTCCCTACATGTGAAATCCATATCGAGCCTTCTAATGTGTGGCTTTTAGCTGGTGTTGAGCTTAAATAAACTTAAAAAAACAGTGTCCAGCTTGGGTGCAAGTTGACAGCATTGGTGGGTTTAATAAGGATAAGCCTGAAAATACCATCAGTTGTACATTATGAAAATCGAAGTTGAATTTTCCTTGTAATTAGAACATAGCTTTCTTTGACCAACAAAACTGTTTGTCAGAGAACTACTCTCTACGCCTACACAGTATCAAATTTAACTACTTCAAAAGCACAACTTGTTTATTTTACACTGTAGTAAATGAGTGAAAATTTAAAAACGTACGTTTTCAGGAAAAGCACTTTTAAAATTTCTTGTTCCGTTTTTTGAAACTTTTTTTATTTTTTTAATTTCATTGACATTTGAAGTTTCATAAAATGTCCATGGTAACGCAATATCTTTGGTGATTTTTTATTAATAGAGCATCTTTGATGGAAAAACACGAAATTATGTCACGACCATCACGGACATCAAACTGAATATTAAAAATAGTTAATATTATTTTTGTAACTATGTTTTGCTATTAATTAATTTACTTTTATGACCATCATAAAATAAACAGCTCACTAAGCTTTTGGTATATATGGTCTTTCTATACAAAAATAAAAAAAACTCAAAAAGTTGAAAAAAGCCAATAAAATCCTTTTAAGTTTGTATAACTCCGAAAAAACTTACCTGAGACCCGAAAAATCGTTATGTTTTTATAGAGGTGTACTTCTTTTGTGTATAAAACATTGAAATATGATGATATTTTAATTTTTGAAATTTTTATGATAGAAATCATCAACGTGATGGTCAGGGACAAGCGGTACGGTCGTGAATTGTCTGAGAAAAATTAAATCTTTGTAAACAATCCTTCAACTATACTGTTAGTTATAGTAAAAATATGTGTTTCAATTGAACTAAACTGTTCAATTTACAATGATATTTAAGTTATTGTCACGACCAAACACAGTATAATCCATAAGGCTGGATTGGTCGTGAAAAAACCCGCGATGGTCGTGAAACTTTGGTCGGGACATTACGTGTTATTTGGCTCTGTTCTGGCGGTAGCCCTGCACCTCATGTTGGAGGATACAAAGTGGACTTCTAGGTTAATGTAGCAATATAAATATCATATCAACAAAAATTAACCCCACGTCTACTTCATCAAATGACTATGTATGGTCATGGACACACCAAAATTACAAAAGACACAAAATTACCTTTATTAATCTTGTAACTACTTCTTTCAACACAAAACAACCGGCACAACAAACTTGACGTACACCCCGAACTAGTCTCTAAAACGAACTGACGCAATCGACGCCAGGCTTGCCACTGTCGTGCTCCAAAGTTGAAAATTTTTCCCAAATGGTCGTGACGCCAAATCGAGGGACAGACTTATTTTGTCATGGTAGTCAGTTTGCAATGACACTAAAATTATAATATGCTCCTTTTTTGTAAGTTTAATAACTATTGATGACATAAAAATATGGCTTGATATATTTCGGCATAAATAATCAGTCTAAAAACAGCGTGAAAGTTGGAAAATGTACCCTAGGGACACGTCATGGTCGTGAATTTCGAGACTTTAAAAATACGAAAAAAATACCTAGAACCTATTTAAAACCAAATAAATGTGTGTAACATGTTGCCCCCGTCCCAAAAAATATTAAAATACATAATAATAAACTACAAATCCAGTATCTACGAAGTAAAAGGCCAGGGACATGAAAACGTACGTTTTTAAATTTTCACTCAAATATAGGATTAGTCTTTTATAAATATGTGCAAAAATTAAATTCACCTTTTGAGCAAGTTCTTCTATGTCCTCTCTGTAAGTCTCCATTGCAATGCTGTAAAATGAGTTAAAATGATAATTGGTTATCAAAACGCATACAAAATGAGCTAATATCTTGACAAGGGTAACAGTACTTGTTTATCTTGATTACAATTTACTAAAATTAAACAATGCAAAGAAATAAAACACAAAAAATTGTTCAAGAAAACAAAGAATGTATGTTAACAGAAACATAACTCAAAATGTTCTAATGCAATAAACTAGTAAGATAAACAGTGTTGAACAGAACCTGCCAGTGAGTAGCTTCTTCTTGAGCTCACTGAGCAGTCGTTGAACTTTCTTCATGAGCGTCTCTCTCACATAATCCTCCTCCTTGCTGTAGGAAGATAAAGATGCAGCCGCTCTCTGCCATATCACTATCTCATGCCTCAACTCTGCAGAATCAGAATCAGAAACTGCATCAACCAATCACATTAACATCTACAGACTTACCTCCACTTGGAAAAATATTGAAATATTATTTTTCAAGGATAAGTTGAGACATTATCTTCCATCACGATTACTGATTAGTAAAAATCAAAGTTTTCTTGTCCAAAGACCTCGAAAGTTCTGTGAGTTCTATGATTCACAGACCTATACCATTGACTATTGGATGTTGAGGTCAAAGCCTATATACAAGTAAAAGGCAGATAAGATTAGATTTAGTTTTTGAGAAGAGTAAGTCCGCTCTTTAAGATATAGGGCCTACTAGTTTGAATCATTTTCTGATGACTATAGATCCCTCAGCTCACACATCTGGTCACAGCTGGTTGTAGCTGTTTTTGACTATTGAGCTTTGGACAAATTACCTTGCCTAGATAATCACTGAACTTATAGTCTGTTCACAAAATTTAGGCGGTTTGAGGGGAGGTTTCCCCACCAATTTTTTTTATGCTTAATGTATGTTGCTCAGCTTTTGAGCTATTATTTTAAAGGTAAGAGTCAAGTGGAAAGGATAGAAGGGGTAGTTGTCTGTCAACTACACGGGAGGCCTCTTGTGGGCTGGCAACTCCGAGGTACCCTACCCAAAACCCAGATCATTCTCTTCTTTGTTCTGGGTTCTTCTATGGCCAGCATACTTCTGCTTCTTTTGCAGGCTCTTCTTTCTTCTTTGCTTTCCTACAGGAGAACTCTTCTCCCTCCCTTCTCTTCTTTTTCAGCCAAACCTCAGTGTTAAGCAATCCGTGCTAAAGAGGTGAATGCTACCGGGCTCCCCATCGGTGTTTTGTACGGAGCCTCTAGGATACCAGGCACCCTCCTAGAGTAACTGTCTTACCCAGGCATGCGGGACTCTGCCTGGGCTCGACCTTTGGCCTCACAGCAGTTGACTGGTGAGAACATTATTGTTACTTTGGGAATCATCAATGACAACCAGGAGTGTCGATTATGCAATCAGTCTTATGAGACTACAAATCACATAATTCTGGATTGCCACAGACTTGGAAATAGGGGAAAGGCACTGTTTAGCGAATAGCAGAAACTTTTTTAAAATAACACCCATTCAATATCGACCAATAAAACTAGAATTATAGTTATACACGACTTTTAGTTCAACTTCTAAACCAATAATTGAAACGTACCTTGAACATCTTTTGGATCTGTATACTGCAAGTCCTTTATGTTTCTGAACATGTACCTCAGTTGGAAGTGCACCAGGATCATGATGATGGTGAGGGGTATACCCATCCGTGTAGTGAACACTCCAAAAGTAATTCCCTGAAAATTGAAAGCAATGATATTATTTTAACCTATTTTTTTATTTTATAGTAATAAAGATTATTGCCTGACAACAAAAACCCTTCAGTTATTAAGAGTGTCTTACACTTCAATACTAAACATTTTTAGCAGGGGTGCCCAGAGGGGGGGTACTGTGGCGCGTTTGCGCCACAGGAATTTTTGGGGGGGACTATTTTTAAGGGATTTTGGGGGGGATAATTAATTTTTGCTAGCTGTCATAATGGCTGTATAATTTTGTACAAGCAGTCCGAAAAAGTGTTTCTCACTAAAAGTAGCTCACTATCAACACCAACAACATTTTGCCATTCGTAATTAAGATTGCTTCTAAGAATGGTAAAGCACCTTGTCAGACTAGAATTTTACATGCTACATAATGTTTTGTTGGTTCTTTAACTCCACCATAGTCAGGACTTACAAAAGATCCCCTTCTGGAGGTGTCATCAGAATACGTTACGTTACAAACATTTAACACAAAACACGAAACGATTACAGATAGGCTTATCAATTCACGCGTGTACGTTGCTGTCGGCAAGACTGGAAGTAAACTGAATCGGGTTCAGGTTATGACGGACCGATGTGGTCTCTGAATTGTCGTCTGCGTTTTCAACAGCTGATATTGGACTATTGTAGTGACTGAGAAGAGTATTGAAAATATAAGGGGTTTCATAATTAATTGAGTGTTTTCACTCAAAAATTTTGTGCTGTCCCCAATTTTATTTATTCATATATTTCAAACTCCTCAAAGTATTTAATAAATTTCCTTTCGTGCAGTACTGTAGAATTTTGAGACCATCATTTATATCCAGCATATAAATTGGTTATTATTGTCAATAGTTTTGAATGGAAAACTCAATTATGAATCCCATTACATTTTCAACATACTTTCCTCCGTCACTACAATTAGTCCAATATCAGCTTTTGATAACGCAGACGACAATCCAGAGACCACGTCTTTCCGTCATAACCTGATTCAGTTTACTTCCAGTCCTGCCCGCGGCAATATACACACGTGGATTGATAGGCCTATCTGTTATCGTTTCGTGTTTTGTGTACAAACGGATTGTCTGACAAGATACGTTCCTACCATTTTAGTCATAAAAGGCAATCCTGGGGCTATCAAAATGAATTATAAGATTACTTCGTCACAAAAACATTTTGTTCTGGTGACATGGTATTTTGCCCGGCGATTTTTGTAGAAGGCAGCCTGGAAGTGGCGAGCAACAAGTCTAATTTTGAAACAATTAAGATACTTTTTGCCAAAGTATTATTAATACACTTAAAGCTGTTTGAATTCTTAATACCCTCTAAACATTAAAAGCCACCTAATATATTGTACAGTTACAGTACTGTGTTGGAGTAGAGTAATTCACCGAGTATAGGCCTATTGTTGAACGTGTTGAAGACGTTGTCTATAGCAATACTGAGCACATGTTGGCTGACAATTCAAATTCGGAATTTTGTAAATTGAAAAACTTCTAATTCAACCATTAGTTAGATATGTATTGTTAAATGACGTTTCCTATTAAACATTTAATTTTGATTCTCAGTCAGCAAGTTTGTTTTTTATACCTCAAGTTTACTAAATACTTTAAATACTCGTTTTATGAGGTAAAGGGAAATTGTCAGATAAATTGGTGGGGGGAGGGTAGGTTTAAATAGACAACAACATAAATTGGGGGGACTACTCCTTTGGCTTGGGGGGGGGGGGGGATTGCGCCTCTGGGTTTAGGGGGGATGGGCACCTCTGATTTTTAGTAGTGATAACATAAAAGATTGAAAGATATATATATATGTATAGGACAAGAACACTACAGATTGCTAATTCCAGACTATTAAACCAATTACCAAATCGAGTAAAAAATGTCAGTCATACACCCTATCGTTTAGTTGATTTACTTCTCTTTACGATCTATATCTCGTATAATTCATCTGTCGCATGTCACACAATGTAAAGATGGACAGTGTGCTTATAAAATTGTAATAAATCTTCATAGATTTTAAAGTAATATTGATTATTTGTACCCTTATGGTTAATTTTGTTATCGTTTTTATATAGCATTTTAGCAGTAATCAGTTACACACAAATTTATCAATTTGACACAAAAAAGGTTGGTTCTTTGCTATATGGGTACTAAGGTAAAACTATTTATGTTACACCAAAGTCATTGTCTCTTTACAAAAAGATTTTTAATCCCATGTAAAGAGGCCCAGTTTCAAATTTTGTGTGCAAATGTTTGGGATATTGAAAAGTTTTGTTATTATTTCTCGTTTGATAGTTATGACTTAGTTCAACTTTCTTCGAGCAGAAAATGATGGAGTGGAAAATGTGGCACAAGATCCGATTTAAAAAATCTTCTAGATTTACGACTGCGATACTGGTGACTGTATGTGTAAATATTTGTTGTAAATACAAAATAGACTATAGTGTTAGTGATAAGGTGATAAGTGATTAGTAAGACCCCTGAAGATGCCACACAAGGTGGAGAAATGCATAGGGTAACAAACATCTTACCTTCAAGAACTCTGGCAACAACAAAGGTGATTCTAATATAATCCAAAGTTCTTGAAACTTGGAAAACAACAAAAAATATTAAAATGAGGGCACCATTTTTTTTGTAATTTGTCCATGTCGTGTAACCAAATGTTTCTTATATCAAATATATAGATGGATCTTCTTTACTCAAACAATTTAACATGCTTATCAAAATGATCACAAAGTCATTTTAAAACTTGACACACTTTCTGTGCTACAAAAGGATCTACACAGTCTGAATAGTAGTAATAGGTAGGTACTATACTATGCATTTTTGGAAAATCTAGTGGTAGAACTCAGGGCTTTATGTATGAGGTCCCTGGTTGTTCAAATCCACTAACTAATGGTTTGAGCTACGTGATAATGATCCTCCTAGCCTGAAGTAATGTGTAAAAATAAAGTCCGAGGCTAGAGCCTAGGGTCCTAAGATTAGAATGTTGGACATAAAAAGTGGCCAAATTAAAGTTGATAATCGATCAAAGTATTCTCCTGTATCTTACAGCACTAACGATGTCCTTGTTGTTGGCGATGATAACATTTGGAGGGTCTCCAATCGGAGTGATGGCTCCTCCAATGTTGGAGAAAATAATCATTGCCATCAGAACCGGTGTTGGGTTCAGCTCCATCACTTCACATAACCTTTGAAATAAATAAGAAAAATTATTACTGTCCCAACATGAATGTTCAATGCTGTAGTGTTAGCGTGATGTGAGATTTAAATAAACCTGTAGCGGCGATAGCAGGCCCGCAGGGCCCGCGGTGCGGGGGGGCCTGCGAGCTAGAGGAGGGCACGTGAGCCTTGACCGGGATTTTCGGCAAATTTTACTGGCACACGGGCCCGCGATAGTGTGACAGGCTCAGCCACACGGGTCCCCTATCATAACAATATTTATATAAGAATTAAAACACGTTTTTTATGATGAAAATTTGTTCAAACCTATAGTTCAAGTAGTTTACAACAGCTAAACTAACACTATTACTTGACCGATCGATATAAATTATCTACCAACCTAAGTAAAAGAATTGTCATCAGTTATGTGGGTTGCATTAACTGTCCTCGTGGATTGTGTGAAGGCGCAGTCAAAATTGGTTGCATAATAATTAGGGCGGTATTTATAATCAATGTGGCCTCTGCCTCTGGCCTAGGAAGATAAAACATTAATGTTAATCCTCCTAGCCCACAGCGGGTGACACCATAGAGGATCCTCTATGCTGATTCGACTAAATAAACTTGACAATTTTGTTACGACCAAATCGGCAAATTGACCTAGGTGGCTAGGGCACTAGCTAATAAATAATTCCATTCTTTCATTGATGCTAAAGAAGGATTTTCATTTCATTTCATGTCTTACTATTAGGAGGCTGCCCTTTAGATTTGTTTACTTCACACTTTAGATGTGATTACATCGAGTCAGGTAAAAAATGTTACTTACCTAAAACCTCAGGCCAAATCAGATCGGTTCAAAATCGGGTTGTTTTGGAAACGGTTGATTTTTAATAGGCCTATAATGTCGATTTTTGAGCCGAGCAGAACCTGGACTACAAGCTTGAGAGATCAAGCACAAAGTCAGAAAATCAAGCTCGAGCCGATTTTCTCAGTATTCAATACAATAATGCACAATTAAAAGTAAAAGCTTTTATATTTGTGAGGATCACGCTCAAGAAATTGAAAGATTAGGCCTACGCTTTTGCCGCGATCCCAGAAGACGATAATGACGTTTCTTTTTTAGAGAGAGATATATCTAGGATTTAGCTGCGATTACGGAAAAATGATTTACCCGTCACCACCGACGGGTCGTGGGGAGATATTAGGCCGTGATATTAGATTGGGCTGTGAACGTGGGAGACGATGATGCTGCTATCTATAATGATGTCATAGGTTTGGTTGCATTTGCAATGACAGTAAACTATGATAATGTTTCTTCCATGACTTATGACTACACGGGAAGTATTCACGATTTTTCCGCGATCATGGAAGACGATAATGACGCCTCGGGAGATGCCTTGTCAAGTTTATTGCAAAATTGCAAGTTTAGGCGGTAATACATGGGAAAACGTTTTTAAAGATCATTGGGAGAGGGGGGCCCGGTGAACAAACTTGCGGGGGGGGGGGCCGCGGGTTCTTATTGCCGCCACTGAAATAAACCGTTGTGAAAAGTTTGTCTGTCATTTAGACAGTAAATGCTGTTGATAAAGATTTTTTTAAATAAACATCAAACATCAATATAAGCTCTGTTATGTTAGACAATCAAGAATCACCCATAACCCACCCCAATTGCTCGCAATAGTTGGGGACACACTAGACTAAATTTTTTTTGGTACAATAGACTCCCTCTTATCAGGACTTCTTGGGACCAAGGCCAATCCAGATAACCGGTTTTCCGGTTAAACCGACGTCCCCAAAAACTCGTTATAACGTAATACCGTTTACCGTAATATTCTACTTAAATTTAGGAGAGCATCCTTATATATAATACGTGAAGGCGATTTCTACAAAACACTACTCCTCCGATAATAATGGACAGATTTTTACAAACGACGTGTCAAAATAAAGTATTTTTTGTGTAGACGCCCCCTTTCAACAATTCCTGTAATAAAAATCCTCGGGCTTTGCCCCACAGGCCATCAAAGTTGGAGTTTCTCCCATAAGATTAACATGGGGGAAACTAAATATTTAATTGGAAACTTTGTCCACACTAATTTGAGAGAACGGCTGGGCGTAGAAACTTGGTAGAGGTATCCAAAGAAAGGTCTTGGTCTGTAGATGAGTTATCAAAAGAAAAACTAAGCAAAATCCCTTTGGACTCTGCCCCAGAAGCCTTTAAAGATCCCTCCACAGAGTTGTTTACATTTTGATTTTGGCCATGTGAATAATACTTTTTTATGAAACATCTGTTCATTTTTAAATTGTATTTCAAACATCACACTTTTTGGGAGTTACTGAATTCTACCAAAAAAGTATTTGCAATGTTATTTTCTGATTTTAAAATTGATTTTCTTCTTTATCATGTCATGTTTTACAATATAACGTTCCATTACGAAATCAGTGGAAAATCCTTTTATCATAGCAATTCTTAAATTATTTCTTATTGAACTATCTTATATCTATTGTACGGATTGGTGTCTGCCTTTTTCACCACTCTTGCCTACATCTAAATACTATAATCCCGCATATGTAACTCACTGGGGGATACAAATTCTAGACCACTTCTAGATGAGCTAGAGACTTGAAATTTTCGGTGTTTTGTAGGTCTAGTGCTCAAACCCTCGGAAAAATTCCAAAAAGTGACATTTTTAAATTTTAACCCCCCCGAAATTAAGGGTTTCCCCCCATGTTATTCTTATGGGGAATAACATTAAAAATGGCCGACTTTGGTGTGCCCATCTGAACGGTTTAGAAACGTGCTAGAGACTTCAAATTTGCGTAGTATTGTACTATGGGATCTTAAATTAACGGCGAATTTTGCAAAAGTCCCATTTTCAAATTTTAACCCCCCAAAAATCCAAAATGGCGGACCTCTGAAAACGAGAAAACACGTTTTTTTCAAAGGGATATAGCTCGAAAACGGTAAGAGATAGAAAAGATTTGAATGTAAATCCAGGAACAGGAATTAAATTTTACACAAAATCCAAAAATCGCACTCCTTCAGCTTCAAAAAACGCCCTACTTTCAAAATTTGGTAAATTTTTATTACATTTTTACCGGTTTTCGCCATGTTTTCATACTTAAATAATTTTGTTTTTCAAAAGTTATTATTGCTTTGTATTCTCCTTACTTTACTTTAAATTTTACTTACTACATGTTTTTTCGTAACTTTACTCCTTGACCCCCAAAACTTAATTTTAATCTCAAAATTTGAAGGTTTTTCGCCACTTTTACGAGCCCCGTGTTATTCTTATGGAGAATAAGATTGAAATATAATGACTTTGGTATGGTCATATGAATCGTTTAGAAATGTGCTAGAGACTTGTAATTTGGTAGTATTGTAGTAAGGGATCATAAGCTAATGGTGACATTTTCAAAAGTCCCATTTTCAAATTTTAACCCCCCCAAAAATCCAAAATGGCGGACCTCTGAAAACAAAAAAACACGTTTTGTTCAAACGCCTATAGCTCGAAAAGGGTAAGAGCTAGAAAAGATTTGAAAGCATCTTAGCAAAAGAAAATTTTATTTTCTACAAAACCCTATCAGGCGTTTTCCGAAAATCGCACTCCTTCAGCTTCAACAAACGCCCTACTTTCAAAATTTGGTAAATTTCTTTCAAATTTTTACCAGTTTTCGCTTTTTTTCATACTTAAAATTCCTTTTCGCAAATATTATTGCTTTGTATTCTCCTTACTTTACTTTAAATTTTACTTATACATGTTTTTTCGTAACTTACTCCTTGACCTCCAAAACTTAATTTTAATCTGAAAATTTGAAGATTTTTTGCCACTTTTACGAGCCCCATGTTATTCTTATAGAGAATAAGATTGAAATTTAATGCCTTTGGTATTGTCAAATGAATCGTTTAGAAACGTGCTAGAGACTTGAAATTTGGTACTATCGTAGTAAGTTTCATAAGTTTTTGGTGAATTTTGCTAAAGTCCCATTTTCAAATATTAACCACCCTTTTTTAATCGCCTACAGCTCGAAAACGGTAAGAGATAGAAAGATTTAAAAGGATTTTCATGAACGGGATTTAAATTTTCTACAAACCCCTTTTAGGCGTTTTCCGAAAATCGCACTCCTTAACCTTCAAAAAATGCCCTACTTTCAAAATTTGGTAAATTTCTTTAAACTTTTACCGGTTTTCGCCATTTTTTCATACTTAAATAATTTGTTTTTGCAAAAATTAATATTGCTTTGTATTCTCCTTAATTTACTTTAAATTTTACACATCTCGTGTTTTTTCGTAACTTTACTCCTTGACCCCCAAAACTTAGGTTTAATGTCAAAATCTGAACGTTTTTACGAGCCCCATGTTATTCTTGTGGAGAATAACATTTACCCCATAAAAACCACCATAAATTTCCCATTTACCCCCAATGTTATTCTCACAAGGCGCATAATTCTAAATCACGTTTACCCATTTCTAGATTAACTGGATATCTGAAATTTGGCATGATTGTTGATCTTGCGCCCTTTTCTAAAAGTGACATTTTACAAATATAACCCCCCCCCCCACGAAAATTAAAATCCCCCCCCCCCAATGTTATTCCTACAGGTGCATCGGTCTAAATCAATTTTACACACGTCTAGATTAGCTAAAGATCTGAAATTTGGATCAATTGCAGGTCTTGCGCCATGGCCCATTTCTTTTTACCCCCAACCAAAAAAGGGGGCCTGGGGGCGGAGCCCCCAGCGAGCCAAAGGCGAGTTTTATCATATCATTCTACACATACCAAATATTTATGTAGAAATATCTGCTCTTATAGTGTCTAATAACATCTGAACATAGAAACCTTGCCTAAAATGGTAGCCTACCTATATTGACAAATTATTTGAACCTACCTATACTATGGACTTTGGCGCATTGGGTTGGTAACATTAATGAAAATAACACGTCATTTTGGCTGTAAAATATGGTACAAAGAGAAAATACTATTTAAGCAGCTCCTGTCACAATATTTTATTCATTGAATGATCACCAAATTTGGCAACTAACTCAATTAATATAATAATTTTTTTTACACCTATTACTCTTTAAACAATGCAAAATGCTCAAAATATGTATATTTCACCCAATTTATTGCAGTAAGATGAATTCAAGAATCAAGGAGAATCAATATTTTTATTCCGTTAATTAACGTAAGCCTTGAAAGTAACCGTCGATTTCGACGGGTTTCGCCTAGTTGTATTTAGACACATGAACACTGGTCTCAAATCTTTCCCACGAGGAACAGTTGTTTCAGTACCGCCCAATTCCTGCCGATCAAGTCCGGTTAAACCAATGTGCTGATAAAAATTGTCCGGTTAAAAAGATGTCATTTTCGCGGTTAAACCGATGTCCGGTTAAAAGGTGTCTGGATAAGAGGGAGTCTGCTGTACTTTGTTTCCTATGTGTATATAGTTTACTTTGCCACCATTTTACCTGATGGTGACTGGAGTCATTAACAAGATGGTGGTGACATTGTCCAAGAAGGAGGAAACCAGAACAGTGTTGATGCAGAGGATATTTATCAACATCCAAATTCTTCCTCCCATCAGCTTGAAGAACTATAATAATACATTAAAATTATTGAGTTGTTCTTAGAATGAGAACACATTTCCTAGGCATTGCACGGATTTTATCTTTGATCTCCCAGAATTTTACTCTATATAAAAAATCAAAAGTCATATTTTGTTAATTTGGACTCCTATACTACTTTCCATGTGCAAACTTTGAAAATAATCAGTAATCTATATATATATATAATTCCGTAAGTCAAATTTTTGTAAAGAAATTGTGAGTGACTGGATGGCCGTAGAAGGATGGGAGGGGTCTTATTTTAAAGGTCTTGACGTGAATTTTGAGGGAAAACTATTCATTTTTCTTATTTTTTTAACCATAAATTCGCAACAGAATAAAACTTTTCCCATTAAAACAACATGGGGTTTAATTTGTTTACATCTTTTGAAATTAAAACAGCTGTGCCACAGATTTGAAAACAGTGATCAATACACGCATTTGGTTTACTTTTAGCCAGTCAACTATGAAATGTATACTATAATAAAACTGAAATATTGAAGATTAGTCGGAAAAACGTCTGCATTCTTTGTTTATATTTAAATCATATACTCAAGTTTCATTTTTTCATGCTTTAACGTTATTGTCGTGTTAAAGGAATAAACGACATAGAATAAATATTCTGTATAAATAATCAAAGAGTCGAAATTAAATCTAACTTCTGTTTTGTTTTTATTTTTAAATCATATGTTCAAGTTTATTTTAAATGATGTTGTTTTCTTTATATTTCTACACATTTTAAGGTTAAGGTTGTGTAAATATATACAACTAAAATAACCTATAAATGTTATTGGTTCTAAAATGGTGTATTTGCATTCCTTCGTAAGTAAATTTTTTTAGTGCAGTGAATATACAACGTAGAGTAATCATATTCGATCATACTTTTATAAAATCACCCGGGATTCAAGATGTTTTGGTATGTAGGCTGCTGGATATATATTCTTTTCATTATAAGTACTGTAATTAATATGAGCGCCAGGGGAATACCACAAAGGCGGGGAACTGTTCATAGGAATGACAGTGCGCGTAGGAGAGCAAGAGTAGATAATGACAAACTTAATCAAGATATGTTACAACCCCTTTTTAGGAGACCCATGGTAGACGAGAGAAATGTAAAGATCCATGATGCAGGATTATTGGACCAAGAGTGCATTCAATGTAGTGCTCTTCATTTTAGAGAAGAACTAACGAATAATCATTTTATGACATGTTGCCATAACGGACTTATTAACCTTCCTCAGTCAAAAACTAATGTAGAACTTAAAAGTTTGTTTGAAGAGAGCCCACAACTGTATAAATTCATTCGACAATGCAACAGTGCGATGGCTTTTGCTTATTTTTCAGCCAGTAAGAAAGATATTCCAGGAAAAGGACCATACTGTTTCAAAATTCAAGGACAGATTTATCGTTCAATCTCAGATTTGCTGCCTCAACATGATGAAGACCCCGTGTATGGCCAATTGTACATTATTGACACATCAACAGCAAGAGAAATTCGTCAAAGGCGTCGAGAAAATAGTGACTTAAAACCTGAAATATTGTCAAAACTAGCTGAAATTCTATTAGAAAATCCATTTGCACAAATTTACAAAAGAGCTTCGGAAGAAATGGTTGTACAAGGTGACAGTGAATTAGAACTTAGGTTTGTAGACAGGATAAATATGGATCGTCGTAGGTATAATAAGCCTACTGCAGATGAAATTGCAGGCGTCTTCAATTAATCTGAAGGCGAACCTCCAATGAATTTTTAAAATTCCAAACAGGGAAGCTTTTATTTATCCTCATTAACCACAAGACCAAAGCTACCTTAAGTAGTAAACCAGTATTTATTCACATACAATGATATGTTTGCCTTTTCATGTTAAACCACTGGAGTGATTCAAATTATTTATTGAAAATGACATCAACAAAAGCAAACAAAGAAGAACAACAAACTGGTTTTTACACAAAAGATATGGTGTAGGGATGCCTATTCTGACACATAGATAATGTTATTCTGAGTTTGTTTAAATAAACTCAAAAAGTTGTTTTACATTTGAGATTTTTAGGGACTTATGTTCCTACAAGCCACTAGTGGGATTATGTTCTGTTAAAATAACATTTCTGAGAAATAAAGTGCAAACAAAAATGGAAAATGGTTGCACAATATCCCAAACAACTTTACCACTTTTGGGTTGTAAATCTTTAAGTACGCAGGTCCACAAATCTTGAACCTCTTTTTACCCATAACAATTGCAAGCTATAATTAATTACATCATTTTACATTTTCTAGATCGCTACATACCTTGTACTTGGTGGTTAAGTAACAGCTGAGCCTGTAAGCCACCACTGCTAAGTAGTCAAAGACTCCAGTCTCCGAGAATATCGCAACAAACACCATCATGGAAAAGAGCAGAGTCAAAGTCTCGAGGTCCACCCATGAAACTATATCCTGATGGCTTGGCCGCTGCAAAGTGAAACAAATAAATTTACAAGATTTATGCAATTAATTGGCATAGACTATTGAAATATTGACAGAAAGATATAACAGATCATGTTTTACACACTATAAACTTATAAATAGGATAAACTTCTTATTTATTTTAGTTATTAGCCTAATTGTAAGTGAGATTATCAACTCACCTCTCCAAACAAAGCAAGAACAGCCACTGAGACAGTTGCAGCAAGCATGGCCGCCACAGTGCGGTGAACTATCTGTGGCACAAAATTAGTTACATATTTTAATAAAAATTATAAGATTCAATATAAAGATAATTAGTTGCCTATTTGGAATGAATTGAGTGTGGTTATGTATGTTTAGTGAACATATGGTGTATAGCAATAAATCAGAGGTTATATAAAGCCTACTTTGCAATGTCTGGTGATTGTTCCAGTAGCAATTAGTGGATATTTGAGGCAAAGCTCGCTGATAAATATGAAATTGAGGGGTTACTTTCCACACTGGCTAAATACCAGCTCATTATCAGCTAGATTATTAACACTTGATTGGCTAGGTAGCTGAGTGGTTATAGTGCTCACCTAGTAATCAAAAGGTCGCTGGTTCGATCCTGAGAAAAGTCAGTAGCTTTTTGTTGGTTCGAAACTGGACCCAGCTGTTCCTGATCATTGGGCTTTAAATAAATGATCCTGACTAATGAAACCGGTGATCTTAGTCAGTAACAAAGTAAACAGGTCATCACACACCATTCTACACTCATCCTTAACTCATATTTGGGTTAAAATACTCCCCATCTCAAATGATTGATAATTCATAATATACAGACTGTCCCAAAAGTCCCGGACCGGTTTAATATTTTCTAAACGACAACAGATAAATCAACAAGATTTGGTACATCAACATCACACCTAAAAATCTACTTTTTTATGGAAATATAAATTTTCTGTCACATCATGGGGACGTCCCGCAAGGAGTCAGAAGGAAATCTTAAATAGAAGCATAGGTTGATTTGTACATCAAATTAAAGGTCTTTACTAGCAGAATATAATGCTGCAAATTTGAACTCAAAAGGACAACCAAGTCAAGAGTAACAGTGGTTCAAAGATTCATTTAATTTGCATTTGGGGGCACAGCCCTAGGAATCGGAAAAAACTGTTAACGCAAGCATAGGTCGATATGCACATCAAATTAAAGGTCTTCACTAGTAGATTACAATGCCGTAAATTCAAGCTCAAAAGAACGCCTGAGTAAAAAATGGCAGTCGTTCAAAGATTCAAAATGGCAGGTTCAAGAAATCTTTGAACGGCCACCATTTTGTAACGGGTGATCCTTTCGAGGCGCGGTTTCCAGCATTGAACTCTGCTAGCTAAGCCCTTTAAACTGATGTGCATATTGACCTATGCTTCTATTTAAGATTTCCTTCTGACTCCTCGTGGGACGTCCCCATGATATGACAGAAAACTGATAGTTCCTTAAAAAAATAGATTTTTAAGTGTGGTGTTGATGTGCAAAATCTTATTGATTTATCTGTTGTCGTTTAGGAAATATTAAACCGGTCCGGGACTTTTGGGACAGTCTGTATATGGACAACCGATATTTTCTATAACAGAAAACTTTCTCTGAATAGTATAAGTTATAGTTAGTTTAAAATTTACTACCATATATTACTATCAACATTTTCTCTCTTAAGTGAACAGTGAACATTTACTGATTTTTCATTCAGAAAATCTAAAGTTTATGTGGTCACTTCCCGTATCTTTACCTTCCACAAATCAATCTTCTGCCATGTCAAACCCTCAAGTCACTAGAATCTCAATACAATCCACTCATGTTAAGTCAAGGTTGTCTTTTTTGGGCATTGGTCCAAACAACAATGTTACTATCTCATGCACTTCCTACCTCTGTTATGATGAGGAAGTACAGTCCCAGCAGTATGAAGGCTGCATACACGATTCCATCATCTGTGTTGATTGGAGACAAGTCATAACTAATAGAGATGGGGAAGCTGGCTGCGAGATTGGTGGTGAACTGTAGACACATTAGGCTGTTGGGAATCATCCTGTAAAGAAAATTCTAGAGTTAATCTTAAAACAGGCTGCTTATTTCAATGACCACACTACAAAAGAACTGAATAATGTCGTAGAGGCAGCAATTGACCTTTAGTACTTGGAGGAAACCACCCGGAAGACTTGGGAGTATATTATGAATACACATTACATTAACTTATAGATATATTTCCCTAAAAGTAGGGGGCTCAAGGCGGGAGACATTCGCCACCAATGTATAAAGTATACCATTTTTAAATTAATTCATTTTAGAGTGAAAATTTAAAAACGTACGTTTTCATGTCCCTGGCCTTTTACTTCGTAGATACTGGATTTGTAGTTTATTATTATGTTTTTTAATATTTTTTGGGACGGGGGCAACATGTTACACACATTTATTTGGTTTTAAATAGGTTCTAGGTATTTTTTTCGTATTTTTAAAGTCTCGAAATTCACGACCATGACGTGTCCCTAGGGTACATTTTCCAACTTTCACGCTGTTTTTAGACTAATTATTTATGCCGAAATATATCAAGCCATATTTTTATGTCATCAATAGTTATTAAACTTACAAAAAAGGAGCATATTATAATTTTAGTGTCATTGCAAACTGACTACCATGACAAAATAAGTCTGTCCCTCGATTTGGCGTCACGACCATTTGGGAAAAATTTTCAACTTTGGAGCACGACAGTGGCAAGCCTGGCGTCGATTGCATCAGTTCGTTTTAGAGACTAGTTCGGGGTGTACGTCAAGTTTGTTGTGCCGGTTGTTTTGTGTTGAAAGAAGTAGTTACAAGATTAATAAAGGTAATTTTGTGTTTTTTGTAATTTTGGTGTGTCCATGACCATACATAGTCATTTGATGAAGTAGACGTGGGGTTAATTTTTGTTGTTATGATATTAATATTGCTACATTAACCTAGAAGTCCACTTTGTATCCTCGAACATGAGGTGCAGGGCTACCGCCAGAACAGAGCCAAATAACACGTAATGTCCCGACCAAAGTTTCACGACCATCGTGGGTTTTTTCACGACCAATCCAGCCTTATGGATTATACTGTGTTTGGTCGTGACAATAACTTAAATATCATTGTAAATTGAACAGTTTAGTTCAATTGAAACACATATTTTTACTATAACTAACAGTATAGTTGAAGGATTGTTTACAAAGATTTAATTTTTTTCAGACAATTCACGACCGTACCGCTTGTCCCTGACCATCACGTTGATGATTTCTATCATAAAAATTTCAAAAATTAAAATATCATCATATTTCAATGTTTTATACACAAAAGAAGTACACCTCTATAAAAACATAACGATTTTTCGGGTCTCAGGTAAGTTTTTTCGGAGTTATACAAACTTAAAAAGATTTTATTGGCTTTTTTTCAACTTTTTGAGTTTTTTTATTTTTTTCTAGAAATACCATATATACCAAAAGCTTAGTGAGCTGTTTATTGTATGATGGTCATAAAAATAAATTAATTAATAGCAAAACATAGTTACAAAAATAATATTAACTATTTTTAATATTCAGTTTGATGTCCGTGATGGTCGTGACATAATTTCGTGTTTTTCCATCAAAGATGCTCTATTAATAAAAAATCACCAAAGATATTGCGTTACCATGGACATTTTATGAAACTTCAAATGTCAATGAAATTAAAAAAATAAAAAAAGTTTCAAAAAACGGAACAAGAAATTTTAAAAGTGCTTTTCCTGAAAACGTACGTTTTTAAATTTTCACTCTTTAGTTTGGTTTAGTACATGACACACCTGAAGTCTTTCCATCATTAGCTTGCATAATTTGCTTAGACTACCATTTTGATTGGTCAACTCACTCAAACTCAATGTCATTAATGTCAAACAGTTTTGATTGGCGAACTTCTGGAGCAAAGTCGATCACATCTTCTGAGACGATTGGAACCATCCAAACATTTGATATTGTCTGAAATATAGAAAAAAGATTTAAATACCTAGAAGATAGTTACAAAATACCGCTATCACTTTACAAAAATGAAGAAGTGTGATTCAATTTCTTTCTTTAATTTTAATAGTTTAGATGAATTATGTGAGAAGAATTATGATTTGAGAAAATTACAAATATTTTCTTCTACTTTCCACCAAACAAAGTTTTATGAAAAACATATTTATTACAAAGGAAGAAAATTATTTAACAAAACTACCAACTAATATTCAAAACTTAAAATCAAAAGAATACCTACAAAAAAAATTAAAACAAATCCTAACTGAAAATCCGATCTACTCTATTGAAGACTTCAATGAAAAATGCATCAACATTTAAAGAGTTTTATTTAATACTAAACCTAATTGTACTGTCAGTCAAGACAATAAAGTATTTTTTTATTTTTTTTAACTCTTTTCTTCCGTACATACCTAACTTCGTATGGTCGCCATTTCAGTTAAAAGTATTAAAAGTAGCTTAAAATGATGTTGTATTTCAATAACTTTCATCAAAGAAACAATTTTTTTAGTTCAAAGGGTTTAGCTGATCTTACCTTACGATAGAAGATATTGTGTTGAGTAATGTTACTCCTTGGTATTCTAGTTTGTATGAGATCCACCCAGACTCTCATAAACTTGGTGGTGAGGTTACCGTAGTATGTAGGAAGGATAGCTCCTTCCAGATCCACTTTTATCTGCCGCATAGTCGGACTCTGCAAGATCCAGTAGCCTAGTCCATTTGTTAAGGAGAAAATGTTTCCAAAACAGTGAAATATAAACGTTTAAGAGTAAAATATCAAATTATTCTTTATAATTTCTGGAACAAATGGAAATTTAGCAGCAATGTATTTAGGTAATAGATGTAAACCAAGCAAAAATCTTCTTTTGAAGCAGAGTTTAGTTTAAATAAATCATCAAAAGAAAACTACAGTAAGAATATTGTATTAATATATTGATTTAGTAATTTGACTTACGAGTAAAAATGTTGCTTAAGGAATTATATTTGTGTCATTGCCGCTCGAGAATTAATTGTAGATGAACGCACAAAGCTTCAGCTGAGTGTAGCCATACATTTGAGAGCTGCAATGACTGTTGGGCTGGTAATACACACATAATATTTTTTTACCACCATAATTAAATTATCATAGCACACTGATTATCTTTTAAGTTGCATAGAGCGGCAATGAGCTGCCGGTATTTTGCGTACTGTTTGTTTGTTGTGGAAAAGATAGTTAAACGAAGACATTCTAATTACATTTACTGTGAAAATATTGGAATTCCACCCATACACAAAGTTTATTTGTGTGGCTTAAAAGTAGTTTATTGATATAAAGTTGATGAAATGTTAAAAGTAAATCCTAAAAATAAAAATAAAACACTCATTTCTCTTATTTGTATTCTTTACTAATTACTAATTAAACGAGGGTATTATCCAATCAGCTAATTCAGGAAAATTTGTAACTTTTATGGGAACTTTGGAAGCCAACGAGAAGTTGATTTTGTTACAGCCCAAAACGGTACATCAAAGAAATTGTCTTCATAATTTTAAAAACAATGCATATAAATATAACTATGGTTAAAAAATAACAAAAAGCTATCCATAAAAACAATGAAACCGAGAGCAGGAATGTGTGCAAACCTTCACGACGCAATTAGATATACCGGGTGTCCCAAAAAGAATGGATCAAAAGTAAACTGACATGAACACTTTATTCTTAAAGATAAAAAGTTAACTTAATATACATTTTATTTCTTAACATTCTAAGTTTTTCCTAACATGATTTCACAGTCTAACCTATACATGTTCTCCGTTGTTCGCTCGGAGAAAGCCAAGGTGGTGTTCAAGCTCAGGCCACACATTGTGTCGCATTTCATTGGATATTTTTCCAAAGGCTTCCCTTATCTTTGCTTTAAGTTCATCTAAGTTTGAGATTGGCAAGTTATACATTTGATCTTTCACAAATCCTCATAGAAAAAAATCACAAGGCGTAATGTCTGGAGATCTAGGAGGCCTCCGTATGGGGCCGCCACGACCAATCCAACTGTCTGGGAAGGTTTCATCCAGTGACTCCCTCACAAATAATGTCCAGTGCGGAGGAGAACCATCTTGCTGGAATATCACGTTTGGTTGGAAAGCCTCTAATTTAGGATAGGCATAGTTCTCCAACATGTCGAGGTACACGTTTCCAGTAACTGTTTGCTCATGAAAGAAAAAAAGGGCCTACCGTAACGGTAACCTTTTTCATGGCCGATGTTTCCAGAATCCTTAAACTGCCTGTACCATCGCTGGATACTGTTTCTGGATGGTGGATTTACATTGTACACAGTCTGAAATCTTCTTTGTACTTTAACCACTGATTTAGTCTCAATGAACCACTCGAGGCACTATTGTGCTTTTAACTGCACATCCATAATGCAACCGTGAGGTTTGTTTATGTTTTGAAAATTCAGGCGTGCTCACAACAATGAACAGCTGATTTTTGTTGAATCATACTAAAAAAACTTAAAGATTCCAGCTTTAAAATAAGCCATACTTGACTTTCCTACGACCCTCAATAACACGTGTATTAAGCTGTAGATTTGATCCATTCTTTTTGGGACACGGTGTATTTAAAATTAACTGGGGGCCCATAGCAGCAATTGCTGCCCTTCACCTCCATTGTTATTATTGTTATCATTGCTATCATTGTTATTATTGTTATTATTGTTATCCATTGTTATCCCTATGCTGTGTACCATTCCTAAATTATACTCTTCTTTGTAGTCGCCGTCTTCCCCTAACAAGATACATTTCAACACTGCATTACCGTTCTAACCTAAAAACAAAACACTAAAGTCAATAAACAAAACATGCAATATTTACATCAGCTGGTATATTTAAAACAGCTCATAGAAACACTGTAGCAGTACTTCATCCTTTAGAAAATTACTGGATCTTTGATGGCCTGTGGGGCAGAGCAGGGGTAATTTTAACACTTCTTATATTTTTCCGACCGTCCTTGGACCTTAAGCTTTTAAATGAACAGCCATGCTACCTTTTTCCTAGCTCGAGATATTTCATGGGGACCATTTGCTTACGGAATTAAATATATAGATTCCCATCAAGTTTTCAAACAATTCTAAGAATCTTTAGCCTATAAAATTACTTGAATTCAAGCACCAAGTTTGTGTTTCTTTACTAGCTCATTGAGCCGCACAGGTTTCCCAGTATTTAATAATAATAGATTGATCAAATAAATTTGAGGAAGAGTCTAGCTTTTCAACACAATAATTAATTTAAACAAAAAATGTGAAATAAATGTCTATTAAGCCATTCAATATGGTTTTCCTACGGTTACCTAACAATGTGCATGTTCTCTCACTGATTTGAGAAAGCAAAGTGGCCAATTCGCTCGTCAGTGAGACAATGTTAACATTGTCTCACACTAATTACTTTGTCTCACTCCAGATTTGCAACGTGAAGGCACGAAATAGTGAGCGCGTAACATGCAGACAAGGTTGTATGCGCGCAAAATACGTTGGCAGCACTGGCTGTAAATCAGATGGTCAGCTGTTGTACCCTTGTATTTGTTACTTCACATTAAATGTCATATTAAAAGTTCACTTCTGTATAAAAATATGCTATGTTTCTTTACTAATTTATTTGTTTTATGGTAACTGTAGGAAAAATATAATGTACAACTTGAGTGCAAAGTGCAATTGCCTCACTCGAGAAACCATTCCTCACTCGCCTACGGCTCGTGAGTAAGTATTTCTCTCGAGTGAGTCAGATCCCTTTGCTTACTAGTTGCACAAATAACTATTCTACATTGGTTTAATCATTACATCAATCAATAATTCAAGTAATAAATCAGCTGATGATAAGGATACTTCTAGTCAAGTTTGGTGGAACGGAGATTTGATGGGAGTTGTTGATATCTGAATACGTCTTCACAAGCATCAAGACGACCTAGAACAGTATAAACAGTGTTGTACCTTTGACTATATATAAACTACTTACTGCTGGACAGCCACCTTTTCAGGGCAATACGTGAACAAAACAATTACAGCACCGCAGTAAATAATACATTATAGCTCAGTCCAAGTCTAGATCACAGCACTTGTCCTTTTATTAAACTTTGCGGGTACTTCACACTCTTCAGGATTAAAATATTATAAGTTTGAAAAATTCATAAAAATCCAACTTAAGGGCAACATTTTGGCACCTAAAACTTTAAATGGGTTCAAGATCGACAAGTCAACAAAAGCAGGTCATGCCATGAATACAAGGAGTAGTATATACTAGCTAATAGGGTACATTGTATGTACATATACTTAACACAACAAATACACTAAATAAGTATATGAGAGAAGATTTGAAAAATGTTTAAGACAACAGTCGCTCTTACACAAGACATAATCCAGATGCTAAGCAGAAAAGAGATCTTCAAGCTTTGAACCCACCAGGACGAGTTCGAGTCAGAAAAACTCATCATTTCCTTGTCAAAGCTCTCTTTTTCTTCTTCCACTTTACTCCTGAAAAAAAACAAAGTGTTGAAGTCGATAATTTTTTCATTGGTCCTGTGAAGAAGTTTTTCAATGAATCAAATGTTATCAAGAGAAATAAACGGAATCAGCGATCTGACCCATACTTTCTCCTACATTAGCGTGTCAACAACCTGCATGGGTAAGCGATGAGAGTAGCCTAACTATGATAGGTAATCTATCTATCTATATATTAATAGCCAAGCATGTTTCTTTAAAACCTTTTTTGTCAGCTCGTGTTCATCGCAGGGAAAATCTACGCATACCGTTAGAAAGATATTATCCTGTAGAACTGCAGTTTAAAAATTAAAATAGGCTCAAAAAAAAAGAACAAAAAATGAATTTGAAATTTAAAAAAAATTAACATGGGCTTTATGAGTTGCCATGCTGGTGACGAAATAACAATGAAATATAAACAGAAAATCAAAACAAATGTAAGAAATTCCAATCCCATGTTATATTTACAGCGTGGGGTGAAAATAGAGAAGCCTGTACCTTTGACCTTTGACTAACTTCTGTACAACAACTTCTGTATCCAATAGTCAATGCTTTGACTTACAACTAGACATTCCATCCCTATGTTAAAGTTGTCGCCAGTTTTAATTAAATTCATTGTAGTTGATGTGGGCCACCAAACAGATTGCGCTGATGTAAATGACTAATTTCTCTTGAATACACGAAGATTTTTACCAAGTTATGGAATGATTTATTAAGACCTATAGAAACTAACTGTTATGACCCATCAGCTTTGTCACTAACAAATAATAACATAGAAAATATAATTTTAGACACGCATACTGTGACTGGTTCACACAACCACATGTTTTAATTTTTTTTAAATGGCAACAACTGGTCCATATACATGGAATGTCTACTTCAGTATCCAATATTCAATGCGGGTACATTACATATTTTTGGTCGAGTTTTCGACCACTAGTATTATTTAATAGGTAAAATCACTAAAGTTGCATTAATTTTTGAACCGTAGTTTTTACAGGATTGGTTATTTAGAATTATAAAGACCTTAAAAGACAAATTTCAATTGGAATTCTTTTTTTCTGTTTTTATGGGTTTTTGTGGGGAAGTAATAAAAAGTTATAATAACTTTCGAGCCGAAATTTTTACAGCAGTGGAGAGTTGCACTATTTTGTTAAGAATAAGGACCAGTACATTCTAATTTCAATCAAAACTGGTTTTTTTTTAAATACAATTTTCTATTATTTTAAGGGTTTTTTTAATGGGAAAGAAGATAAGTTACAATAGCCTTTGAACCATAATCTTTACAGGAATGGGTGTTCTACCATTTGGTTCAGAATTTATATTTTTGAGAATATTTGATTTTTTGCAATTTTATGAGTTTTTATGAGGAAAACCCCATTAAAAATCAAAATTTCAAAAAAATAAAAATAAATTCCTGGATATACCATGGATTTCATCCACCTACATACCAAATTTCATCAAAATCAAATTTAACTTACATGCAATATTTAATGAGCTAACTGCATTAAGTTGCTCATTAAGTGCTGTTAAGTTTAGTCAGTGTGTATCAAGCATTATCAATTAAGCACATTTTAAGCACCTAACAACAAGTCAGTTACCGTATAAATTTTTGAGCCTTTACTGTTTCATTTGCAGTGTACATAGTTAGCTGTGAGTGTAAGTTTCAGTGTTAGCCTTGTGTCCGGAAAATCGGACGTCAGAGCTGAAACTTTGCAATAAGTCGATGCTTATACTTACGACGGCCCAGCAGGACAATTGGCAATCTCATCCTCATCCAAGCTCAGATGGAGACTCTCGTCCGAGGGGTTGATTATCATGACAGTTGGCACTGAGGAACCGCCTGAGGACTGTACCTTAGGAGACAAACCTCCTACATCCACATCAAAAGTCAGGGCTCTGAAACAAATGATTAAATGTTTTACCCTTTAAAGATTATCCATCTTTTAATTTTTCAGGAGTATAACATAGTTACCAAACAGTATATCACAAACCATAAAATCAACCTAAATAACCAACATGAAATACACATAATAACTGGTTTCAGATTTTATCATAGGATGAAAAGTCTACACTACTTGTACTTCAAATTCAATGCTAGTAGATTTCTTATTTTTTAGGATCTGTTGAAGATATATCAGCTGTTTATATGCAGAAATGTTTTTTGTGCATTTATGTCATCAATTTATTGTTATTTTTCTTTTGTAAATAACAATCAGATGTTAGGGTTAAAAAAAAAACACTTAGCTAGAGATACACTTGAAGGTAGCCATGAATGAGAGAATTGTGAGACGTTGACAATCATATGTACTTTAGTACATTTAGAACTAGGGGATTGTGGGATTGGCCAGAGACAATGAGCTGATTTCCCTAGTTGGCACCAATCCAACAAAATTGCCGCAGCGTCTAGTTTTTATATAGCAGTGTTGAAGTGTCAGTGCTACCTTCAGTATTCCTAGCTCAGTGGTATAAACTATAGGGTGAATTTCTCTGCCCTATGCACTAATGCCTAGTTTACTGTACTTTACTTAAAAAGAACTATGAAACTGGAAACAATTGTAGATATTTGGTTATCGTATAGCTTTTAACATTTGTATTGTGTGGCCGTAAGAGGAAATAAAACTGATTAACCATAGTTTCAAGTTACTTTTTCCTCTTGGCACCCGTGCTCCCGCTGGGGGAGATGTGAACCTCTTGATCCAGTCGATGTCCGTAGCGCCGAAATGGCTCAAACGACGGATCCTTCTTAACCACCTCTGGAAGAGTGTTCCACACTTCGTAGGCACCCTGCATGTCGCTAGAAAATAAAAATGTAATTTTTTTTCTTATTTGAGTAAAATCTTATAAAATCTATACAATTGTGCGTGCCAGGATAATATGATAGAATGGAAAATTAAATTCCCTACAAACGGCATAGATATTAGAAGCTGATATTAGGAGATAAAAGTTTTGATTTTTACTCATAAGCCATTTTTGCACTAGGCTTTTATTTTGTAAAGTAAAAAATGAAAAGCGTAAAAAAAATTGTATTGAAAAATAAAAATGTAAGATCAAATAAAACACTTGGAAGCTGTGTTTCCATACGCAGGATAATTATCCCCAAAACGGGATTTTTAGACCACGAGCGGGATTAAAACGGGAAGCGGGATAAAACAGAATTTTCAGCTATGACGTCTTTTTTTATTTTTTATGGTTAATTTTAGAGGGAAACTAACTCCAATTGATTAAACTACTGCAGCAAAATATAATAGCAAGGTTTAAACAACTATTTTAACATGATACGTCAAATAAAACACTCGGGATAAACAGGAAAAAATCATGCGGGATAAAACGGTATTTTTCATAATTCAAAAGCGGGATTAAACGGGATTTCTCGATCCAGTAAGCGGGATTATTTTTTCGGTTGTGTGGAAACACTGCTTGGAAGCAAAATGGCCACATATTATTTAAAAGTTGTAGGACCCACATGGTCAATCTATACAAATCAAGTATCAATATGCAAATCTTATGAAAACACTATTTTTTATTGATCCAGACCAATAATGTTATTTTATGGATACAACTTTTAAGATGTAATGGAGGTTGATGGTTGTAGTCATGCCATAATTTTTACCTGGTTTTTTTATCTGGTTTATTCCCCCAAAAATATCCTTTATAAGGTTTATAAACTATCAACTAAGAAAATAAATAACCTTAAGGTGCAACTTATATTGGTTCAAGAGAGGTTTAAGATAAGTTATTAATCATTTCAGCCTCTGTATTGCTTATATAATCAAATAGATAACGTATAAACTCTTACCTTAGCAATCCTTATTATGGTTGTCCGTTATTAATTTCGAACACGTAGGTCCATCTTCAGTCGGAAGTTTAGGTGGACCAAATGCTTATTATAAGATCCACCCGATGGGCTTCGTAGAAATGTTGACATTTAACACGATACACATTACAGTTGACATAAATAATATACAGAGCTTAGGGATAAAAACCATGGTTTTATAAACAGTGGGATAACCTCACTTCAGTCAGGGAACACGCTGCCGGCAGAACTGTCAAAATATTTTCTGCAAAGCCCATCGGGTGGATCTTATAATAAGCATTTGGTATACCTAAACTTCCGACTGAAGATGGATCTACGGGTTTGAATTTAATATCGGACAACCATAATAAGGATTGCTAAGGTAAGAGTTTACGTTATCTATTTGATAAGTTATTAAAATACTTCCCAAATAGCGTGAAAAAATATTGAACGAGTATTAAAATAGTTTTGAAACAAATCCTACAATACAAGTTTGGGATTAAAACTGTTTTAATACAAGTTGTAAACAATTTTAAAATGATTTTGATAGTTTTGACAGTTGGTTGAATGCTGTATTAAAACTGTTTTGATACAAGTTTTAAACAGTTTTGATACAAGTTTAAAACAATTTTAAAACCAGTCACAAAACTTGTATTAACACTGTTTTGATACAATTCTTAAAAAATGTTGATACAAGCTTAAAAAAATTTTAAAACCAGTCACAAAACATGTATTAAAACTATAATTATAAAACTGATTAGGTGTTTCAGTAATTTAACACTTACCCAGATTTTGGAGAGCGCATTGGGAGGTCAAAATCATCATCATCTTCTTTGTCCAGATTGATAACACTGGCATTTTTATTTTCTTCTTTGCTCATTGCCTGCTTAATATATTTTTGTAGATTAGTAAATTTTAATCATTAATTGTTAATTATGTTGTTATATTTGAGTATTGAGAAGGAGTACACGCATGGCTTAGTAATATTAATAATACCGTACTGTCTCTTATAATCATCCCTGCCTGGTAATTTAAAAAAAAATCCTCTAAATCCCATTGGACTGAGTGGTTGAAAGTCTTTAAACTTGAATTTGGCTGAAGTTCAAGCCACAAATGATTGATTCTAGGCTAGTATTAATAGTCTTTTAAATTATATTTTTACTGATACTGTAAAGGGGATTCCTAAAAACAGGGTTGAATCTAAATAGCAACAAAAACAGTTTTTTGAAATGTTCCCTAACTTACTTGTTAAATTACTTAGGCATTGGTACCAAAATACATATTAATATAAAAAAATAAGGCAGAACAATTTTTTAAATTTATTTTTTAATATATCATGTTAATTTTCTCTAATCGCCAAAAATAAAACTTAAACACTTCAATTCACATAATTTGTTCCGTGCGGTATAATTAGCATCTCTATGATTTTGTGTATGTTCTGTTACATTTATAGCTAAATGCTGAATGGAGGTAAAAACTTCTCTAAAAATCTCTCACAGTAAGTAAACATATACGTTCTAGGATTACTACTGCATACCTAGAGTCCAAAATTACTGTAAATACTCTAATTATCTATAAGAAAAGTATAAAGGTTTGGAGGGTCAATTCCCACACATGTAGAATTAAATAATCCCATAAACAATTCATATTTAATCAAATAGTTTTGGCTTATTTACAATGTAATGACAATAGTTATGCAGTTCTGTAAAAATTATTAACTATAATGTGAAAAATGAAAATCAAAAGCTTAAGCCTGCTGAAAGTTGTAAGATGTTGCTTACCTTGCTGGATTTTACTCACTGCTGGAAAGAGCAGAAATGTCCAACTTTCATGTCAAATCCTTCCTGTTCAAAGGTAAGATGTATCAAGTCCTTATCTTGGTCTGCTGGTTTCTCTGACTGTTCAACTCATGAAATGAATATCTGATAAGGCACATTATTTACTTAGACCATAAGTAGGCCTATACCATGCAAAATAGTAAAATATACTACAAAATTTACAACAAAATATTTAAAAAGAAATAATCATAACATATGAATTACAAATATAAAATATATACCTATTACAATATTATGTAATACTTATAGTCTTTTTGTATTAAACTTTTGACTACAAAGAACACTACAAATACCCCCGCAGCAGCAAACCTGCAAGAAAAATTTCCATTTGCCTGTTTTGATTTTCACATAAATCTATTTAAATAACATTAGCTTTTACGAGAACCTAGGTTTGCTGCTACAGGGAGGGTAATAAAGTGTACATTATTTAGTAAAATATTAATAGTTTAGTATAAAATAAATAAGATTGCCAAGTTTGATCCAATATCCATAAGCAAGCAAAACTTATAGCAGTTTACTTAAATCTCCATTCAATAAAATGCTGCATAACAAGAGTGAATTTTAAATTTAAATTTGTTTGAATTTTGTCCGAACCGGTAAATAACTGTTCAAAAATACTTCAATATACTAAATTATTTTTTTAAGCTCTTTAAAAATGGTCACCATTTCAATTAAAATAATTATTTAAGTAGGAAAGTATTTTTAAGCACTTCAAAATACTTTAAATAGAAATTAAAATACCCCGCCGCAGCAAACCTGCAGACTAAGCGAATTTCCATTTGCCCGATTTGATTTTCAATTAAATCTATTTAAATACAGAACCTTGATCTCATAGGGATTTAGGGATTATAAAATAAGACTTGTTATCAAGGTTGACTTCTTATCGAGGTTTGCAATAACATGTTATTAGGGGTAAAATAAATAATATCAAGTGGATTTGAAAGTGACCCTTGTAATCAAGGGTGACTTGTAATCTGTTAAGATATGTAATTATCATTATCATTTAAAGAATTTTCCTCTATGTTTTTTTCTTTCTCTCAGCTGTGCTATTATTAATTATGCAGTTTTGTATAATATGAGTTTGTAGATAAAAACATAACAAAAATGTCTAAACCCAATTATTCTTTCCTCATCTTTAATTTCAACATGGTAGCAGAGCTTTGGTTTCGTTAATATAACAAACTGTTGATAGTGAAGTACTTATTTCTTTTTGTAACATAGTGTATTTACTGGAAAAGGCTAAATAACAATATGGAGTTTACAAAAGTGCAAATTGGACTTCTAAATGGGAAAGATAATTGGGCTACCTGGAAGTTCAAGATTAGTATTCTGCTGAGGAGTCAGTCTGGAGTAATGGATGTCATAGAGGGAAATCTACAAGCACCTACACAGAAAGAAGATCCGTCAACAGCAGAGGTAGCTGAGTATGAGTCATATTTAGATAAGTTCAGGAAGGCTGACAGTACAGCTATGATAATTATTACTACCAATCTGTCAGATGTAACCCTAGAAAAAGTAATGCGTTTTACAAATGCAAGAGACGTGTGGCTAGAGCTGCATAGGTTGTTTGATGGGGTGTCTGAGGACAAAGCCTACGAAATATGTCAAGAATTTTTCAGTTTCAATCGGGATCCTAGCATTGATATTTCTGGTAATCTATCTAAGCTTAAGAACTTATGGAATAGTTTGAAACTTGAAATATCTAAAGAAGGGGACAACAAATTTGTTTTACCAGATTTGTTTTTGATCTGTAAAATCTTGGGAATGCTTCCTGAGGACTATTTTGCGTTCAAGTCTAGTTGGATGATGATGGCAAAGTCTGAAAGGACTATTGAAAACCTAACCACTCAACTGTGTGCTTACGAAAAAGCATTAGGGCGTAACTCTCAGGGTCAAGAAGTGTTATGGGTAAAATCAGAATCTAGAACCAAAAACAAAGCTAGTTTAGAAACTAAGGGAACTAATAAGAAAGTCACATGTCATTATTGTCAAAAGATAGGACACAAAGTTAGGCAGTGTACAAAATGGAAAGCAGATGGGAGGCCGCCTAAACCACCCACTTCCAAAGTAACAGAGGATAGTAAACCTAGTTCAAATATGACTATGTCAGTTGATGTAATGATGACTGAAAACAACAGTGACTGTTGGTATGTAGACAACGGTGCCACTAATCATGTCACGCATAGAGGAGACTTGTTTCAGAAGTTTCAGCCGTTCGTCAACCAGGAGTCAGTGATGGCAGCCAATGGAGAGTCCATCAACGCGCTGGGAAAAGGAACCATTGAACTTGATGTGGAGGTAAATGGGAAGCCTAAGAGAGTTACACTAGAGAACGTGTGGTATGTACCGGGAATAAAAAGGAATTTATTTTCAGTACTTGCGTCTCAGGACTTGCATTTACAAAGTCGGTTCACGTCAACAACGGAAACATGTCAACTTGAGGTGAATGGAGAAGTTGTCTTGGTTGGTTACCGATGCAGAAAAGGAGGTCTGTATAAGCTAAAGGTTCAAAATGTAAAACCAAGTGAGCCTATCGAAATAAACTTACTAACCAATAATGACAATCTTCTACAGGTGTATCATGAGCGGATGGGGCATCAAAACACAAAACATGTGAAAGCGACCATTGAGAGGGAGCTGGGAATAAAACTAACTGGGGATAAAGAGTTATGTGAAGGCTGCGTCTATGGAAAGAGTCACAGGTTAAAATTTGGCACTAGAGAACGAGCCACAACACCTGGGGAACGAATTCATACGGACGTGTGTGGACCTTTCCAGGCTTCAATGTCAGGCTACAAGTACTATGTTTTGTTTAAAGATGACTATTCTAGGTATCGACATGTTCACTTTATGAAGGAGAAATCGGAAGTTTCTGAAAAACTTAAACTATTTCTGGCAGCAGCTAAAACTACTGGACATGTAGTTAAAGAAATGGTGAGTGACAATGGTGGAGAGTTTGATAACGGCGTAGTTAAGAGTATGTTGCAGAACAGAGGAATCAAGCACACCCTGACGATGCCCTACACACCGGAGCAGAACGGTTGCAGTGAGAGGGAAAATCGAACAATCGTGGAAACAGCTCGTGCTATGATGCACTGCCATGAGTCCCTTCCACAAGGCTTATGGGCAGAACTGATCAACTGTGCTGCTTACATCCTCAATCGCACCGGCCCTTCTTCAGAAGCTGACAAAACCCCATACGAACTATGGCTTGGAAAAAGACCTAGTATCAAGCATCTAAGGATAATCGGAAGTGTCTGTTATCCGTATGTCCCAAAACAAAAGAGGAAAAAGATGCAGAAGAAAGTACAGAAAGGAATACTTGTTGGGTACGATGAATGTGGCTATCGTATCTGGGTTAAAGAAACCAACACACTGGTGAGATCGAGAGATGTCATTTTCAACGAAGAGCCCTTATTACAGAGAAAAGAATACCGAATCCCTTTGCCAAGTGAAATAAGTCAAGAAATCGACTGCCGAGGCTTAGAATACGACGTTGAAGATAACGTGGGGCAAGAACCGGAAGAAAATGAAGACGAGGAGGAAGCTGACTTACCTGAGAGATCGAACAGTTATGATCTACGAAACAGATCAGAAATCAATGTTCCGAAGAGGTTCAACGACTACATCATGACTGCAGTTACTAATGTTCAAGAACTGAATGAGCCTGAGTCATACAAGGAGGCAATACGAAGTGAAAAAGCTTCCTACTGGAAAGAAGCTATGGAAAGTGAAATGAAGTCGCACAAGTAAAACCAAACTTGGACCCTGGAGAAACTGCCTGCAGGAAAGAAATGTATAACATGCAAGTGGTTATACAAAGTAAAAACTAATCCTGACGGCTCAGTTGACAGGTTTAAAGCAAGGTTGGTGGTTAGAGGTTTCTCGCAGAAGAAAGGAGTGGACTTCAACCAGACTTTCAGCCCAGTAGCAAGACTCAGCACAATCAGATCCCTACTAAGTGTAGCAGCAGTGGAACATTTGATTTTGACACAATTCGATGTATCAACCGCATTCTTATACGGCCAAGTCGATGAAGTTATTTACATGACGCAGCCTGAAGGATACAAGGATGGTACAGATCGTGTGTGCAGGCTGAACAAGAGTCTCTACGGTTTGAAACAGGCGCCTCGCTGTTGGAGTACCAGATTCAACAAATTCATGGAACTTCAAGGATTCAAGAAAAGTGATGCTGATCCGTGTCTGTTCATGAAAGAAGATGGAAAAAGTAAACTGATTGTAGCGCTGTACGTAGATGACGGGCTTATAGCAACAAACAACACGGGAATGCTTCAGAACTTCATGGATCATCTGACGAAGGAATTCAAAATCACGTCCAAACCAGCATCTTTCTATTTAGGCCTAGAAATAGAACAGAAAAGTGACGGAAATGTTAGAATATCGCAGAAAGCGTATACAAAGAAAATTCTTGAACGCTTTCAGATGAGTGACTGTAAACCAGCTCCAACACCTATCGTGAAAGAGAACGAAACACAACCAGCAGGGAAAGCAGAGAGCTCAAGAGACAAGTTTTCATACAGAGAAGCTGTAGGTGCTCTGATGTACCTGATGACAGCAACTAGGCCAGACATAGCCTATGCTGTGAGTAAAGCATCGCGTACTCTTGAAAACCCGTCTCACGAAGACTTCATAAGGGTGAAGAGGATACTGCGATATCTGAAAGGAACGATCGACTACGGAATAGAATACCAGTCCAAAGAAAACAACCATGTTTTAGAGTGCTTCAGCGATGCTGACCATGCTGGAGACTCATCGACCGGACATTCTACAACAGGAGTAGTCTGCAGTTTTGGAGGAGGAGTAATCGCCTGGCTAAGTCAGAAACAATCGAGTGTGGCAATCTCAAGCACTGAAGCCGAAATTGTTGCGGCCAGTGAAGCCTGTCGTGAAATCGTTTGGCTGAAAAGACTTTTGGAAGAGATAACTTCACTGAAGAGTGTGCCAGTTCTCAACATCGACAACGAAGCAACAACTCGGTTAGCTGAAAACCCAGAAAACCACAGAAGAACAAAGCATATCAAAATTAGACATTTCTTCATCAGGGAGCTTGTAGCGGAAGGACAAGTCAAGGTTAAACATGTGCCAGCTGAGTTCCAACTGGCAGATTGTATGACCAAACCTCTTCACAAGCCAAGACTTAAAACTTTGTGGCAAGCTATGGGACTTAACTAGTGACTTTAAAAATTCTTTAAATGAGGGAAAGTGTTAAGATATGTAATTATCATTATCATTTAAAGAATTTTCCTCTATGTTTTTTTCTTTCTCTCAGCTGTGCTATTATTAATTATGCAGTTTTGTATAATATGAGTTTGTAGATAAAAACATAACAAAAATGTCTAAACCCAATTATTCTTTCCTCATCTTTAATTTCAACATGTTTTCAATATAATAAGGGTCTTGTTATCGAGGTTCTACTGTAACATTATGTTTACAAGCACCTAGGTTTGCTGCTGCAGGGAGGGTAAAAAAGTGGGATTTTTAGTACAATATCAACAGCTTAGTATCAAATAAGTTAGTTTGCCAAGTTTGATCAAAATATATCCGTAAACAAGCAAACTACAACAATTTACGTATTCTCCACATAAGAATAGCGTGGAAGGTAATTTTAAATTTACGGTTTTTGAATTTTTTTCCTTAACCAATAAACGTACAAAAAACTGCAATATACTAAATTATTTGTTTTAGTAGGCCTATATACTAATTTATACTAAAATATATAAAATTATTTGCTCTAAAAAATTATTCTAATTGAAATTGAGATTTTTTTGTTTTGAGGGTCAAAAATGACATAAACCAATTTTTACTCCATAAAACCCCGTTCTCATGGTCTGATCATGCTGGTTCGCGAACTCATTAAATTTTATCCCGCCCTACAACTTCAAGCCAAAGTTCATCAAAAACGTACAAAAATTACTCAGCTATCGCGTTATGGACAAATATGTATATTCCCCCTGTAGCTATAGCACCACAAGTACCCATTACAATTAATGTTATTTAAATAGAAACTAAGATAAGTTAGGCTAAATCAGACTATTTTAAGGGGGATATTTAAGCAGAAATCTATCCAGGTAAAAGGCAACTCGCTTAGGTATTGATTTGACTGAACACTTAAATCAACCAGCAAGACTTTACTGAAGATTCGCTCCTATACCACTAGCATGATAACTTATTTCAGTTTAGTTCTGACTATTTAGGTACCTATCTAACCAATCCCCTGATGATCATCATACTTGACCATCATCACTTAAGGATTGAATCTTCAATGAATATAGTTTTTATCTACAGGTTCAGTCAAATCAATAGAAAATGTAACATAAAAACATTACACACTGTGGTCATGTTGTAAATAAGATACCCCCCCCCCCCAGCAAACCTGCAGACTTACCGCAGGTCATGGTGGAAGGAAAAAACACCTAGGTTGCGTCCCTTCCACGGACACCTTTAAACTCCAGGCCGCGGCCTTGAAGTAGCAACATCCTAAGTAGGGTTGTACCAGCTGTTTTTTTTGGAGGCAGCTAATGGTATTTGTGTATTTTTTAAGAATATGAAAGCTTGGTTACTGGCGCCTCATCTCAACGATTGATAATTGATGAATTAATCTTACATTTATTTTACATACGAAACAAAAAAAGTATCACAATTAATTATCAGTTTTCTTTCATGTTGGCTACCTTACCTTGTACAATTAATTGAGTGGTTATGAATTATGTGCTCGCTGGTTATGATGGTGTACCTGTTAGCCAGCGAGCCAGCCACGTAAGTTTCAGCACTCAGCAGCCAACCAAATCAGCTGATTTAGATCATCACAGTTAGTTCCAAGTCCAAGATTGGATTGGATTGGGCGATTGCGCTGTTCGTTGTTGGTCTTCTCTTCACTTCACTGTTCGTTTCGTGTTCTCGTTCTCCTGTGTTCGTCTGCGATATAGCTATGTACACAAATAATAATCATTCGCCGGGTTTCGTGATTTCCTATTAATTTATTGGCATTTCGTCCTCTTAGTTTTGAATAAGTATTAGGATGTTCATAACAGCCAAATGTTTTAGAATTGACTCTGTTTTCCTCCTTTTGTAGTGTTCAACTGAACCTTTGAGGTTAAGTCGTCTGGAGTACAACATTATTGTTCTGTTTGTCTTTAACCTTATTTAAAAGTGTAAGATATAATTTATCTTATTATTTTTTTAAAATATTTATTAATTATTTATCCCAAATTTTACTTTTAATATTCATAAACTTGTCTAGTCATGGAAAACGGGAACAAGAGTACAGGTAACACCTTAGACAGTCTGTAGGTAGGCCTAGCAAGTATAGATAAACCAGAGGAATGTTTAGATCCTGTGTTATTAGATGTTTTAACCCAACCATAAATCCTCCCTTTCTTTATGTTCTGTGTGTCTTTTGCTATTTTATTAGTGAATATCTTGGCTGCACTTTACTTGACGTCCTACACTCATTCGATTGTTTTTTCGATTCGATATTTTCATTCGATTGTTTCATTCGATATATCGTTTGGTTAGTTAGGTTAGGTCAACCTTACCTAACTAACCAAACGATATATCGAATGAAGCAATCGATTAATCGATATATCGATCGATATTTTCATTCGAATGAGTGTAGGACGTCAAGTAAAGTGCAGCCAATATCTTAGGCCTAAGTAGTTTTAAATGTGCACAAATTATGATTTTTAGAACTAGGCTTACAGTAAGTTACTTAGGGTGAATGCGATAACTGTAGGATAAGTAGGCTATGCCTATCTGTAGCTACATGCATATCCAGTAGTTTATATAGGCCTATTGCTGTATTTAAATTACCGGTAAGTTATGCCAAATTAACTTAGTCTACATACTTAACTCAAGTCAGTTTTGTCTCAGCCTACTTTTGTTCCTTCTGTAAGTTAACTTCCCAATTGCTTAGCAGATTTAGTAGGCCACACTCAATAAGGTAAATAATCTCAAAATATGTTAATTTTAGAGCCGTCATTAATGGAGAGCACAAGACGTAGAATGCCAGAGGAGATGTTCCAACCTCTAATAGAAAGGGATAGTGAGGAAGAGCGAGTAACAGTGAGGCCAGGAGCCAACCCACTTCATGGTGATAGAGGCAACATTGCTCTACTCCTTTTCCTCTATACACTACAGGGAGTTCCACTCGGACTGGCGGCCGCCATGCCAATGCTACTGCAAAATAAGGGCGTTGACTACAAAAATCAGGTACGTGTTCAGTACAGTAGGCCTAACATTACCTGATCCTCCATTTGACCCTAGGACTGCCTTCCGCTGTTTTGATGGCGGTTTGATGTGTGCGCTCAGTGCCCAACCACAGTTTTCTTAAACGCTTAAACTATGCAATGAAAATGATCCAGAAGCGTAATAATTTTCTTTCTTTTTTTAATAATACTGTTGGAAAGAGGGTATTCTGAACTCTTATTTTCATATGTAAACGAACCTCGTAGCACTATCAGATCAATATAACTGCTAGGCCTATTATAATTTGAAAAATATTTAGCGCACGTAACATTTTTGAGCCGCGGTCGACAAAATCTTGTAAAACACGTTATCTTGAAAAAAATCTACAAGTCTTAATTTTTGCCTAAACAGGAAGTGGTTGGTATCATTGGAAAGAGCTGGAGTTGTCCTTTATTTTTGTATAGAGAACTTTGTCATAGGCCTACAACGTTAGGAAATCTGACAAATATTTTTTTGAAATCAGCTGTTTTGTCAGTTGTTCATTGACATATGACTATAAAGTCATATGGTTGTTTCTGCCCTGCTAATAAAGAAGGCAGTAGGCCTAAGTGCAAAATTTTCGATTTTCAGATTTTGTTGTACCTTAAGGTTTTTGGGGTCAGGGATTCTGAAAAACACACTTAAAAAGCCGCATCTACAACCGTTTCTGAGATATGGCAGGTGTATATTGCAGTATATACATCATTTTTCAACAGAAACTAAGCTAAAAGGCAGTAGGCTATCTATAAAAGCTAAGCAAGAAAGGCAGTATCTGCGATGTAGATACTGCCTTTATGCTTAGTGATGTAAATCACGTACTGCCTTTTTGCTTAGCATTATGGGTACAAATGAGGAACTAAAAGCAGTTTTTACCAGCTGAGATTATGTTGTTGTGTTTGTGTTTACACTGTTGTTTGTAAATATGAAAATGGCTAGTAGTAGTTAGATACTGCTTTTTAGCTTAGGGTCCTCCTATTAGCACTTACTAGCTAAACAAAATGGCAGTATGAGCAGATGCTGCCTTTTGGCTTAGCATGAACACAAATATTTCTAAGGACAAAAGCAGTATGTGCATTTTTATATTGATCCAGTTTAAAAAATTTATTTTTTATAGTGTCAATTGAATATTTAGGCCTAAGCATTACCGAAGATAACAAAAAATATTAGTTTAGTCTTCACATGTGTTAGGGCAATGGCGGCAAAGTTGAGGTCATTTTCTGAAAATATTCACTTTTGCACATACTGCCTTCTTTCTTAGCAGGGCAGAATTATTATTATATTGTTTTTGTAAACAAACTAACTTGTAGTTCATTAAATGGAATTCTTCATCTAAAGATTTAGTTTTATTTTAAAATAAGAAACATTCATTTTTCCCAAACCACCGTCTGAACGGCGGTTTATAAATCACCAATAAATATGTTGATAATTGACATAGAGTGATGAGAGTCATACCTATTTGAAGCTAAGAAAACATTCTTATCGCTATGTTATGTTGCCTTTCAGTACCGGTATTGAGATTCAGGTGACTCATTAGTTGTAACTGGAAAAAATACTCAATTGGCTATGGTATTGAGTTCTGGGGAAATGCCACAGATAGTAAAAAAAATATTTAAAATACAAAAGAGAATTATATAAGAGTTATTGCACAAGTTAGTCCAAGAACATCTCATAGAAATTTGTTTAAAAGAATACTACAAAAGGGTTACCTAACAATAGAATTATTTTTGTGCTTGGAACTTCTAGAGTTTTGAATAGTTTAGTTAGTTTAATAGCCTACCAATAGTTACACAGTTTATTTTTGGAGCATACTGAAGTGAAAGGCAAAACTCACACCACAGTTAAACATAGATACTTTATTAGCCAAGATCCCAAAAGTAAGTCTCCAAGCTCAAAACAACAATACAATAAAAACAAACATCAAATATGCAACATATGATAACAATTATAAAAATACCAAACAGCACATCTTCTCTTTTCTCTTTTTTTTTAGTTTATTTATAAAAATCTGAATCACTGTATCTAAGAGGTGGTTTTACACTTCTTTTAGGTCTGTCATTTTCATTGCTATTGTAATTATGTCCAGCATCAGTTTCAGTTCCTTGGTCTTCTTGGTATTGGTGTTCAAATCTATTTTCACCATTTTCAATAGGCCTATGCACAGCTATTATATGTCTCCTGTTCCTTCTGATCTTCCCTGCCTGTGTATTTATCAGGTAGGACCGAGGATGGTTTGATTTATTCTCAACATGTCCATAACGTTTTAAATCTGGAATCCAAACTTTGTCATTTTGATCAAGCTGTGAGAGATCTCTTACACCTTTCCTTACATCGTAGTTTCTCTTATTTCTTTCCTTGATTGAAAAATCCTTCTCTTTAAACTTTTGCAATCTTTCCCTTGTTACCTGTCTGAAGTTATTTATTGACGGTAATGTTGATCGGAGCTTCCGTGAATAAAGTAACTCTGCAGGTGAAAGACCAGACTCTAAGGGTGTATTTCTATATTCTAACAATCCAAGATTTGGATCACTACATTTTGTTAGAATCCGCTTCGCTATGTCAAATGCTTTTTCTGCTTCTCCGTTTGATTGTGGATACCTTGGGCTTGATGTCACTATACGGAAACCATATTCTTCAGCAAAATTTTTAAAATCCTGAGAAGTAAACTGCGGACCTCCATCAGCTCTTACCACATATGGTACTCCATGTCGAGCAAATATATTTTTCAATCTAGCAACCACAGCTCCGGTAGTCAATGCATCCACATAAACCAGTTCAAGAAATCTAGAATAGTAGTCTTGCACAACTAAATACCATTTTGCATTACATTTCAAAAGGTCAATACCTAAAGACTCCCAGGGATTTTTTGGTAGTTCAGTCAACAGTAAAGGTTCTGATTTGTTACTTCTTTGCTCCAAGCAAACTGGACAATTTGTTACAAGTGTAGCAATATCTGTTGAGCAGCCAGGCCACCACACCGATTCATACACTCGCCTTCGACATTTGACAATTCCCATGTGACCTTCATGTATTTTACTCAGTATATCCTTTCTCAACGATTTTGGAATAAACAGTCTTGTGCCTAAAAGGAGGAATCCTTTACTGATGTTTAGATCAGTCCTGTACTTCCAATACACCGAATTTTTATTCCAATTGTTATTCACAATCCAGGATTTAATTCTTCCGCATTCCTCATCAGTATCCTGAGCTTCTTTGATTTCCTTGAGCCTTTTGTCAGAACAAGGAATAGCATCCAAAATACTCTGAACAAACAAATCTTGTTCCAATATGTCTTCATGTTCGTCATTTGACTTAATGGGGTTCCTAGACAAAACATCTGGTACATAAAATTCCTTTCCTTTCACATATGTTACTTTATATCTAAAACAAGCCATTCTCATTCTTAACCGCTGAAGTCTTGCCGATAAACTAGCGATTTGTTTACTTCCAAGCACCTGAACTAAAGGTTTATGGTCAGTCATAAGTTCAAACTCGGTTCCTAAAACATACTGTGAAAATCTCTCACATGCCCAAGTCAGTGCCAGTGCCTCCTTTTCTATCTGAGCATAACGCATCTCTGTCGGTGATAAAGATCTCGATGCATAGGTGATTGGTTTCCACTTTCCATCCACAAATTGTTCAATCACCCCTCCTAGGCCAAATGACGAGGCATCAGCTGCAACTCTGGTTTTACGATTTTTGTTGTAAGACACCAGAACTGGATTTGAAGAAATTAGGGATTTAATTTTATCCCAAGCACTCTTTTGAACGTCAGACCAAACCCACTGATAACCTTTCTTAAGTAAAATTCGCAATGGAGCTGTAACTTCAGCCAAGTTAGGGATAAACTTCATCAAATAATTAACCATGCCAAGAAATTGCCGAAGTTCGTTAACATTATTTGGGGTTTGCATTTTCATAATGGCCTCCACTTTCTCAGGATCAGGCTTTATCAATCCATTTTCAATCAAATGTCCTAGAAATTTAACTCTGTTCACATTAATGTTACATTTATCTTTATTAAGTGTAACATTGTGTTCTCTCAATCTTTGTAATACATTTGCTAGTCGATGGTCATGTTCTTCCTGTGTTCTACCGACCACAAGTATATCATCTGCTTGGTTTACTACCCCATCCAGTCCATCCAAAACTTGGTATATCCTCTTCTGGTAAACCTCTGGGCCAGAATTAATACCGAATGGTAACCTCTTGAAAAAGAATCGCCCAAAAGGAGTTATAAAAGTCGTAAGCTTGTAACTTTCATGATGTAAAGGAACTTGAAGAAATCCATTTGTAGCGTCTAGTAATGAAAATATTTGTCCGCCTTCTAATTTACTTAGACTTTCTTCTACAGTTGGTAGTTGCCACCTTTCTCTCTGAATGCTTTTGTTGAGTTCGGTATAATCAACACATAGCCTCACTCTATCACCTGTCTTACGTGGTACAACAACAATTGGTGCACACCAGTCTGTTGGTTCTACCACTGGCTCAATTATTCCCTCAGAATGCAGTCGATCCAATTCTTCTTTGACTTTGCTCAATAATGGAGCGGACACTCTACGAGGGGCTGCCACAGCAAAGGGACGAGCATTTTGTGTTAGTGCAATTCTGTAGTTTTCCCCTTTCATTTCACCAATAGAACCAAAAACATCAGAAAACTGAGAAAATATTTGGTTAGAGAAAATAGAATCTATGTTGAACTGAATTAGGTTTAATTTCAACATTGCATTTCTACTTAAAAGTGGAGTAGGTTGTTGCTCAATGACGTAAATATCTTCTACAATAGATTTATTTCTAAACACTAAAGTAGCAACGATCTTACCAACCACTTTCAACCTAGTTTTCCCCGGACCAAATAATATTTTACTTGTTTCACTCGTTTCCAGTTTTAACTCCTTGCAAAGATCATATCCAATTATAGAAACATCTGCTCCAGTGTCTAACTTAAAATAAATATCATGCCCCTTAACATTAAGTTTTACTTTACAAGGATTTTGTCCTCCAACCTCTTCTATGGTCAATTCCCCTAAATAGGTTTTAGGTTTTTCTAATGGTTCATTACTTTTATTAATTTCTCTCACTTCAAATCCTTTGGTACAACATCTCACATAGTGTCCCTTTATTCCACATCTGAAACATGTAGACTGATTGGCAGGACAATCATTGCTATTGTGATGTCCAACAAATCCACATTTATTACATTTACCTTTCTTTGAAATGCTTTGATCTTGACTTTTATTGCAAGAACTGTCCCTAAACCGATGTTTAGTGGATTGATTAATCCCCTTATTGACAAACTCAATTTCTGGTGATTCCCTCACTACTTTTTGTTGTTGTTTTAAACTCTCTGCTTGTCTTGCTTTCAAAATTGCTGTACTTAAGGTTAATTTTTCATCCAACTGTAAATTTTGAGAAAGTTTATCATCATTTACCCCAATTACTATCAAATCTCTAATTAGTTCATCTTTTAATTCCCCAAGTTTACATCGCTCTGCCAGTTTGTGTAAACTATTTATAAAAGAATCAACAGGTTCCCCCTCAGACTGACGTCTTTTTAGAAATTTAGCTCTCTCATATACAATATTGATTTTGAAACCTAAGTAAGACTCAAATCTACCCTTGACAGTGTCATAACTCTGTAATTCTTCATCTTTTAATCCGAAAGATGTTAGAAGGTCTTCTCCTTCATCTCCTAGACAGTATAAAAGCATATTAACTTGATTTTCCCCACTCTTACTGTCTAATCCTGAAGCTAATCTAAACCTTTCAAATTTTCTTATCCATCTAGGCCATTCAGAAGGTTCCCTGAAATTGAAAGGTTCAGGTGTGACAAGTTGGTATTGAACTGTACTAATTGTACTACTCACTGCTTCAGCCATGCTTAGTTCTTTCTTCTCCACAAAAGTTTAAGTTATTTAACCTGACACCATGAAGTGAAAGGCAAAACTCACACCACAGTTAAACATAGATACTTTATTAGCCAAGATCCCAAAAGTAAGTCTCCAAGCTCAAAACAACAATACAATAAAAACAAACATCAAATATGCAACATATGATAACAATTATAAAAATACCAAACAGCACACATACAACTCATAATAAACTTTGTACTACAACAACACTTTGTAGTTAAGCTTTGGTTTATGATGTAGTCAAGTAGGCCTACCTAACCTATGTTACGTATTAGGGTAGGTACCGGTATAACATTTCAGAATCAGTAAGATTCAATCAGCTGTACAATCAGTAGTTATATTCTACCCTCCCAAAGTAGACCCCACCCACCTAGTTTTATATGGATTTTCCGTTGTCTGTAGATTTTATTTATTAGGACTAGAGGCTATTATATATTAGGTTAACGTTTTGTGTTATATTTGCAGGCAATGTTCAGCTTGGTTACCTGGCCGTTCAGTATAAAGCTGTTGTGGGCTCCTATTGTAGACGCCTTGTTCTCAGAACGATTTGGACGGCGTAAAACATGGCTAATACCAGTGCAGGTAATTTAAAACTTTCAGAACAAATCTGTCACTCAATAATTATTTTAATCAGGCCCTAAACCGCCAGACACTGAACAGTGTCCTAAAAATATGTACCTAGTAAATATGTAAAATGTGTTTAATCATTGGATGTTGCCCAAATCCTCTGTGGAGCCACTCTGACCCAACACAACAACAAGTGAAGGTTGACCCTTATGTAGTTACAACTTTTTTTTAAGCTATAAACATTTTTAGCGAATTTCCCTATAGGGAAGTTGCTATTACCGTAGCAGTTCTCAAGGTAAAACTTGAGCCCGTGACCGATTAACTTTTTTCATTTTGATGTCCCCAGAGGCCAAAAACACTATTTGTTCAAATTTTTATATATGTATATATTATGTGTGTGTGTGTCCGTGAACACGATAACTAGTTTGAAGTTGTGAGGCGGGTTAAACTTGAATGAGTATGTGAACCAGCATAATCGGACGATGGGAACGGGGTTTTATGGGAGTCTTTATGGGCAGTAGTGTAGCCAGGATTATGTCAAGGGGGGGGGGGGTTCACAGCCGTAACCTTAGAAAACAAATAATAAGGTTTGTTTAGGGTCATTTAAAAAATAACTAATGGCCATAAAAAACAAGTGTAAGATGTGATCTAACAATGTAAGCACAGTACGGTAGTTAATTTGCTATGTATAACCTCTAGAACATTTGATTTGTTAATATTCTTCGTTTGCACAGTTCCACTTGAGAACTAATTAAGCTAAATAATACTTTATACTGTACTTTAAAGCAGTGAGTTCCATTTTTTTTAGTAGGTACGTTATCTATTGTCTATTAAGAACCTTGATTAACCAGAGTGGTCAGTATAAATGCTTCTAAAATTATGTTACATAACCTCACTATCCAATACCAAGCACATTTTATATATTGTGTTTCTTTAGTCTAATGTGTTGAAATACATTGTATATTTAATTTAACTAGTTTTTTACCATTATTATTTATATGCAGTAGGTTCTCACATTATTGTTTTTGAAACATCATAGTTTATTTGACAAAAATAAAATGGAAGTAAAGAATTGGCTGATAGCTTCAAGGATAGAATTGGCTGATAGGCTCTGCGCTTGCACTGACACTGACAGTCGTCTGCTCTTTACACATCTGTCTGTCTACAGATCACACTTATTCTGTACTAAAACAGCACGTAGCAGTAGCCTTGACTCGCAGTAAGCCTTACTAGATTGTCTATTTTTCTGTTCTTTACGCAATCTCCATTCATACTCGGCTTAAAATACCTACTTTGTATGGTCGCCATTTCATTGAAAAGTATTAAAGTATTAAAAGTATTCATTTCTGTACAGTACAGTGTTTGGAAATTCTTTTGTTTGAGTAAAACTTTGAGTTAGCTATGATTTTAAACGTTACAGTTTTTATTACTGAACCAAGAGTTGATGACAACTTATTATAATTGCGCAATACTACTGTAATTATTGTCTTTTAATTGTGAAAAGCAAATTAATCATCACAATATGTCCATTTATACAATATTAGGAGTTTTTATGGTTTTTTATGGGCAAACTCCTTTTGTCAAGGGGGGGGGGTTATGACCCCCAAAACCCCCCCTTGGCTACGCTACTGTTTATGGGGTAGAAATTTGTTTTCCTCATTTTTGACTATCAAAGCACAAAATTTCCCAATTTATCTCTAGACCATTTTAAAGAGCTTAAAAAGACAAATAATTTAGTATATTGAAGAGTTTTTGTGCGATTATTAGTTAGGTACAGAGAAAATTCTACAAAAAATTTGCTAATACAATATTCTAATGTTATTCTTATGGAGAATATTGTAAAATGTTGCTGTTTGCTTGTTTATAGATATATTTTGCTCAAACTTGGCAAATTTATTTATTTTATACTAAGCTATTAACTTTTTACTAAAAAACACACCTCATTAGCCTCCCTGTAGCAGCAAACCTAGGTAAGTACTCGTTTAACCTTATGTTATCAAATTAGATTTAATTGAAAATAAAATCAGGCAAATGGAAATTCGCTTAGTCTGCAGGTTTGCTGCGGCGGAGGAATTTAAATATTTATGAGGACACCACATTCTAGCTGCTATTTAATAAAATCCATGACCTTGTTATAATGATAGTCTATATCCTTTCACAATGTTCTCAGTACCTGCTAGGATTGTTCATGCTGCTGCTCTCATACCATGTCAACTACTGGATCACAGACCCAAATGGGCCACACATCGTCCTGTTGACTGTTATGTTCTTCATTCTCAATTTCCTGGGTGCTACACAGGACATAGCAGTCGATGGTTGGGCCATCACCATGCTTAAGAAGTTAGTACTGAATTTTTTATATGATTGTTTAGATTTTTCTAATTTGTAAGAGAAGGGTTACAAAAGTATAATTTATATGAGATTTTATACATTTTACATAATTGTCAAAAAAAATGTTAATTAAATTTAATTTTAAATAATAGTAACTGCCTACATTTCTAACAATATGTCAGAAAGTTAACCGTTTTTCCTGAAAAAATATGTTAGGCCTATTATTGTAGGCTACATAAGTACCTATACACCAATCACGCTAAAAACCATTATTTGGGTTACATAATTTGTAAATACCTTTGAACCTTTAATTTCTTACAAAAATAATTCAAATAGTTAAAGCAAAAGTAAGATAGTAAGTAGTTGCTGTGCTACTTAGAATGATACCTAATGAGCAAGCAAACCATATGGATGTTACACTATATGAATATTAAACTAGGTACAGTAAAAATCTTGAAACCTGCTTGTAAACAACCAGTGGCTGCTTGGGCAATTAGGGAGTTAACTTGCTGGAACCGAAGAGTAGACATCGATATAAGGGCTGCAGTTCTTTCCCTACCTCCCTTAACCAAACTAACACTCACTGTTTGTTTTGTTCCAGTCATATTGCTGAAAGTTAGAATTCAATAGCTGCTCTAGATAAAGTTGCTCATTGAATCCAACCGTTGTTCTTTAGCTACAGTCACACATGGTCAGCTAGATTTGGTGAAGTTCATTTTCTTAGTTTTCAAAGTCAGTTACAATGAAAATTTTGAAACATTTTTTGACAATTTTAATATAGGCTTCTGAGAAGTTAAACTGTAGGCTTTGAGAAATTCTAAAGTTACCAAAAATGTTAGGCTGTACCCTACCCTGTATTTTAAGTTCAAGAATAAATGTGTTCTGCCCAAACTAATAAGAGTATGTTGACACAGGCAGAACGTTGGGTATGCTTCAACAGCTAACTCAGTGGGACAGACAGCTGGCTACTTCATAGGTTATGTCGTCTTTACAGCCCTAGAATAAATGTGTTCTGCCCAAACTAATAAGAGTATGTTGACACAGGCAGAACGTTGGGTATGCTTCAACAGCTAACTCAGTGGGACAGACAGCTGGCTACTTCATAGGTTATGTCGTCTTTACAGCCCTAGAGTCTGCGACATTCTGTAACAGCTACCTGCGTACAGTACCTCAGTTTGAAGGCATTGTCACTCTGCCCAGTAAGTTCCTCTTCTGTTTTCTCCCAACACTTAAAATTGTAAGCGTAGAATGTACTTGCAGCCACTTTAAACTTGATCATTGAATACTTTCATTTAACTTAGTGATGGGGAACAACTGATTGAAAACAACCGATTCAATCGATTGTTGGAAAACAGTCGGCTGTTCTCCCAGATATGATTGAAACTAGTCACTTCATACTCCCGGTCCTACGGCGACTGGAACCAGTCAACCAATCATTGGAATAACTGGAAACAGTCAAACGTCGGTGATGGTGGAATTCATTCGGTTTTTCATTCGGTTTTTCATTCAACTGAAAAAACCGACTGGTTTTAAAAATAACCGATTGACTAGTCAATTGTTTTTTCTAGTTGGTTGTCCCTTCACTAATTAACTGCAATACTTCTTTCTACTTACTTTTTTTTACTACTTTTTTAAAATTTAATTTAATTTTGTTCCATAATTTCTTGGAGTGATGTGTGTAACGTATGTTGTATATATTATCCTAAGAACTGAAAACTCAACTGTGGGATCTATTTTAAAATATTAATAATATGTATAATTAGGTTAGGTCTGACTCTATTCTTTGTAAACAATTTACATGTTACAGAATAAAGAAGTTTTGAATTGAATAGGCATAAGGTAAAACTGATAAAATGGTGTATTCTTTGCCACCAGGGGCTAAAATGACTCTTTTCGACTAGGCTTAAGTTTAACGACCAAGAAAAAGCTTTGGTTAGGAAATGAACGAGGGTTGAAAGAAAATACAATTTTAGCCCTCCTGATTAACTATATCTTGTTTTGCTGCACCATTATTTAAGCTACCGGCGATAGTACAAAATCGTGTTGGCCTAAATTGTTTAGCTTTTTATGTTTGCCCTCAAAGCTGCTTCCATCTCATTTTGCTGTATGCAGTAAGAGCTGTTACCAATGTATTCAACTATTTGGCATTTTCGGGCATTTGAAGAAAAGTAATTTTGCTGCAGTATGACAAAACAGTTTCTTTGGTAGGTTTTCTGTACGGCTGTGGCTGGGTGTTTCTGTTAACTACGACACTCGTAGGAGTGATGAAGACAGAACTACCGCCCAGACCAGAGGATGAGCCGAGCCTGGATATTCTTGGAACTTACAAACAACTACTGAGGATCATAAGGCTACCAGCTGTGAGGAACCTCGCTTTGATATTCCTTACTGTCAAGGTATATCAAACATATTCACTACAAGCTACAAGTTGAATGTAGTGAAGTTGACGTCAACTTTGCCCAGGGGCAGATCCAGGACTTTGTTGAGAGGGGGGGGGGGGGGCACACTTAAATTTGTACATATTTTGTGGACGAAATGTTGCCATAGGTCATGTTGAATGATGATATCACTATAGATACATACATTCTATAGTTTTGCAATAATTATAATAATACTTTTAGTGTCAAATTATATTAGCCTATATCAAAGGTTATCAGGAGGATCAATACTACAGGGTGCCAAAAGAGATTCACTTTTCTGGTTTTCAAAAAGTCCTCTTTAAGAGTTATGTTATGTTCCCTGTCAAAGTACAGTATGCCCACAGGCAAGGTATGTCCGGTACCATAGTTATTACCTTGATCTTGATTAATGATTGTCAAAATGTCAAAATAGGATTACTGTCAAAGTCCAATGTGACATGACAATAATTGTCACAATATCTAATGCTGTGATACGGTAGTCTATAGTATGTCTATTGATGTACTAGTTAGCTGCCTTGTTTAGTTCATTTCAATTTAATCTTAATCAAGCCATTTATTTCCTTAGCACATCAGATCCAAGTGCTTGCCATTAGTTACGGGAGTGTTGCACGACGTCCAAGTGCCACGACGTCCAATAATATTTTTCCAGTGCCACGACGTCCAAAACATAATTTTTGAGTTGTTGCACGACGTCCAAGTGTCACGACGTCCAAAAGTACAGTAACTGCCAAAAATATAGTCTTTCTACAAGCTTTGGACGTCGTGGCACTTGGACGTCGTGAAACAGCGCACTATATAATTGTAAAGACGTATCATTTGCACCACGTCCAAAGCCTCTGCCAGTTGCACGACGTCCAAGTGCCACGACGTCCAATCAATATTTGACTGTTGCACGACGTCCAAGTGCCACGACGTCCAAAGTGCCTGCACACTGTGAACACTGTTTGCCGACCTCAGTGCATACAGTTCGCATTGCAATTATTGAAGGCAACTAGTCCTAGTCAACTGTTTGAAAGTTGTCAACCGCTTCGTCTTCGATTAATGTTTAAATTATTCAATATTCAATGGTTCTAATTGAACTAATTATTGCATTAGCTTAAATTTTTTATATGTAAAATAAATACTATGTCACCGTAAAATGTAATGATGCAGTATTTCTGTTGTTATGATTGCATAATTGATTTCTACAAAATAGAGCTATGTCATAGAAACGAAATAAATAAATGACTACCTACACTATTCACTATATTGTATGATTAATACAATAAACTAATCACTAGCCCAAAAGTAAATATGGTTGGTTTAATGTGAGTAGTGGTAGAATTCTAAGTACTGCAGTAGAATAGAATTGTCATACTATATCAATTGGTAGCAAATTTACTCGTAAGATAAAATGTATGCACAGTTTTATAACAGCTGTAAGACTTCCCATTTAAGTACCGGTATCATTGAAATTGTATAACTTCCATTGAACAGAAATGAGATAAGTAGATATTGATACACAGATATATGAATTTTCATACACTTATAATATGACGAATTCAAAAAAGTTTTATCCGTCAAATGTGCTAAATATTATGTAAACTATCAACTTTTTAAGCTATAATGATGTTACTACAATGGTTAAAAATGTTTCCTGTGAAACAGTGGGAATAATTCGTTTTAAAAGAAATCATTCATCATGGATATAGGAAATAATTAAGATTCTATAATCATTGCCCTATCAACCTAGGCCCTTTTCCTGAGTGTTATGAGGTTTATGTTTTGATTTATTTTTGTGTAAACCGTAATATAATCCCGCTGCCACAGCAAATCTGTAGACTGAATTTCCATTTGCCTGATTATATAATTTCACTAAAATATGTTAGAAAATTACCCTTTTTCCATATTTATTTATATTTTCCTATTTTTCCTATTTGTCGGTATGGAACTATTGTGATAGCTTTTTGTTTACAGTGCAAACCATAGATGTATGGATGGATGGATGGATGTTTGTGACAAGCAAACGCAAAAAATACTAAACCGACAAGGTTGAAATTTGGTATGATGATAGATGACATCCCCGATTAACATATTCTTACCTCAAAAATTCTTTCAGTCTCCGCCCCGGTGGCTCTGGCTCTGGACTTTCTCTAGTTAACCTTATGAGAATTCATATTTAAAAAAAATAAAGAATTTTGTCAGCCGTTTCAACTGTACAAGTTGGTTCTATGATATTAAACAGCATTAAAAAGTTATAAGGCTTGCCAAACAGGGTGCAGCACTATTATGTTGTTTGTTTGCATTAATGACCACAGCTAATTTGAACCAACTAGCAAAAAAAGTTGTGGTACACAATGAGAACTTTACTTTTTCCATGGTCTAGGTGCAAGAACATCAGGACTATGGTAGATGTGTGCTACACAATAGGATACCGTATAAATTAAGAGACCAGTTTTTTTTTTTTTTTTTTTTTTTTTTTTTTTTTTTTTTAATTGTGTCCTCTTCCATAACTGCAATAAGCATTTATACTTATATGTCAACCCCGTACGAAGGACGGGTACTCTGCTAGTAACACAATAATACAAATACAGTATACTAATACAATAATACTGTAGCACAGACAATATAAGGTTTCCGTAGTCTGTGGCCATAGGTTCTTCTGAACTGTCAATCAATTCTGAGAAATTCACAGTTGTAAATTCTTACTAGTCTTTTTCTAAGTTCACGTCGCACTCGCAATTAGTTTGCATGTTTTATGTGGGAAAACAGGTATGCCCTAAGTCATAGCATTTGTAGGTTAAGTATAATAATAACAAACATGCTTATCGTAGGTTTGTAGGCATACTTGTTCAAGAATATGCCGTGGTAGGTTTTGTTTATAAATTTTATGTTTTAATTCTTGTCTAATGACGATATTGATTTGTATTAGTGCGAAAATGTTAATTTATTTGTCAAGGGCATGAGCGGCCCTCTAGTCTATGTATGTTACATGAAGCACATGAAAAAGAATAAATTAAAGGAAGGTAAAAAACGGATCAGTTGCTGAAGGTCTAAATCTTGGAAGGTCTAATCAGACCTTCGACACACATTTTGCAGTTTGTACTTGATGCTGAGGATCCCATGAATCCTGTACAAAATATAAAAAAATTTCATTCAAACTACAATTTTATTATTTTATTACTTTTCCGAGAACCAGCCTTTATCAGGACTTCCGCTCCCACGCTAGTTGGCAACGTCAACTGTGCTATATGAAAACAATAAATCTTGAGTAAATATACTGTAATGTTGAATTTTGAGGTTGTGGTGTTCCTTCGTAAACACATTCAATTATAATCTAGGAATATGTAAATTTATTGTTATACGTTAACTTTATTGATATTCGATTCGCTACAGTACTATTAAACCTATAACATTTTCAATTCATGTGCGTTGTATTTTAGAGTTGGGGAAACAAAAGAACCCTGTGTGCAACTTATTTATATGATACTAGCTGTGTGCCCGTTCTACGCACGGGGATCTTAAAGTAGTCAGTTGAAACCTTCTTATATTAAGAAAAGCAGTTGGTTTGCATATTTTCAGATATGCTGGCAAAACTATTATATATAAACCTTCGCAAATACAGTATCTGACAGTTTCAAGCCAAAACAAATCTATGAGGCATAGCCCTAAGGCCTATAGTTGAAAGTTACTTCCCACAATGGTTAAAGGCATTTAAAGTACTACCTCAACCTTACCATTTAACACTTTATTCGGGTTGACATTTTCATTATCAAGGTGCTCTTGTCCTTTTCGTGACACTGAGAAATAAGGACATAAATGCGTTACCAACAGACATACACACAAAAATACAGAACTTAATTAGGGAATTTGCTACGTTTTAAGCATAACAAAGTACATATAAAATTAGAATTTGAAATCTTTGTCAATGTCATCAAGTTTTATCATAACAATTTATATTTGCTTGGACCGAAGATGACCCGAAATGCTGTCGAAATGACGGCTTACTTTATAAAATGAAGTACTATAGACAATTTAGATTGGTAATGGTAATTTAACCTATAATAAAAATTACCAAAATAGGCCACGAACTATTGATACATAAACAACGTAAATCGTAAACAATTCATGATGGTTTGCTAAACAAATGTTTTACTTAAATGAGTTATCATTTTCTTAGCATAAACTAACATTTTGGAATCCAGACAGAAAAAGCAAAACTTGTACAGTTAAGGCATCAATTAAATTGAATAAGGCTGTAATACCACTGTATAAATAAGGTGCAACACCAACGATAACTAATTTGTAAATTACAGTGATGTGTTGGTACGTAAAAATGATTCTTGCTGCTACCAACGGTTCTAAGGAAAAAAACCAGTACCATAAACCAACGTTTACAGTTAAGAATTACGTCCGACAAATTAAATGCGTTAATCAAGTCCCAAGGTTATTGATTTCTTGGTTTTGGATTTTCTCGTGAAAAGTTATCGGCAATCAAAATTATTTCCCATTAATTGCTTTATTCGTAAACAACTTTTAATGTAAACTTATTCAGTTTGAAAAAAAAACAACCTTATAAAAACAACTGTTTGTTATTTAATAGATTACGCAGGCCTATTCTCTAAACAATGATTGGTATATCTTTTAACATTAGAATGAAATGTGACAAAAATCACGCAATGCTGGGTTTTTGGACGTTTGTAATTTTATTTCTTAAGTAGGGAGGCCGTGTATTCTAGGGAAAAGTGCCGGTAACAAGGATTGTCGTCGAAAAGGTTGTTATGAATAATTGGGTAGGCGTAAGTACCCAAGAGATGGGCTATGGGCCTATTGGCTGTATGGTCCAGCGATTGCATCATACGGTGAGTAGGAACAGAAAGTGACACATTGGAAAAGCGAGTTTAGCATCATCCATAAACCGTAAACCTCTGTTACAATCACCCACTGTAGTTGTGATTTTTTACTTTACACTTTACACAACCACCATCGAAGCGCCGTCAATGAGTTAGTAAGGTATTGGCGACGATCATTAATAAATTCAAGTTTCCCAGCCCTATACAACACTGATTCAAGGTTATCAAAACTCAAGAACAATTTTATACACAAAGAATCTCTGGTTCCTAACCTGGATGATGTTATTAAATTTCATTTACGGTTTCACTATATTATTCCACTTGCGATTAATTAAATCCGTTATGTAAGACAACGATTTTAATCTCACTTGGATAAATGGGCTTTGCCTTCAAAACGTGATCGGAAATGGTTGTGGTATTTGTAAACATATCAGTGACAGCGAGAAAAAATAATCTTGATCCGAACAGCTGTTCGTTATTTCATAGATCATTATGTGATAAAAATTGGACGAAAACTTGACAAAAGTCGCACAAAACTGCATTTTTTAAAGTCCGTAATATTATTTACTAAGTAGTGAGGCCATATTTTAATGGCTAAAGACACTATCGCCAATCCAGTGAATACATTAAAATGACTTGGATCTTGATAGGTACTCTCGTTTTCCTGGAGAAGATTGCGTAAAATGTCATCTTGAGTGTTACAGAAAGACAGGAAGACAGACAGACAGAAATTTAGATGAGACTTGTTTCGGCTTCTTTAATGTATAAAACGTAAAAATAACCTACAAATGAATGATTCTGAGCAATGTACAGACAAAACACCAATTTTATTTATATAGATTCTCATTGGTTGCAATTTAATAAGTGGTGTAGCAAAACACAAACACAAAATTTATTGAAATGAAATTAAGTCAATGTTAAGTGAATACTATTAACAAACATAATATTTGCTACATAAAGACATTTAATTGAAGCCTAAAAAACAGTTCGAAAAAGGCATTCTATTCTTTATACTAGTAAAAATTAAAATGAGGGTATAAAAAATAGTTTTCAAAGATCATGTTGATCAATGTACATTCATCTAGTCTTGAAAAAATAAGTATTTAAAAGCTTACTCCAAACATAATGAAGTTGATCGGTTGTTAAGAAAATGTCATCATTTTTCAAACCATGTAAACCTTATAGTTTTCCAACTGTTGCCTTGTTTATTTTTTTCTTTTTATGTTTTTTTTTTTTACTTTATGATGTTTCAATTAATGGTTCAAATATTCATAGTATATATATTTCTGAACAAGAACATATACCCATGTATATATAACTAATAAACGTTCCATAAGCATTTTACACGAGAGAACACTATTCGGCAAGTAGCCGGTCATCGTAACCGGTCATCATGAAGGAGCTTGGACGTCGTGCAACAGCGCTGAGCTATATTGGACGTCGTGCAACAGTCAAATATTTATTGGACGTCGTGGCACTTGGACGTCGTGCAACTGGCAGCGACTTTGGACGTCGTGCAACACTCCCGCAAATGTAACTTTTTTACAATTCTATAGTGCGCTGTTTCACGACGTCCAAGTGTCACGACGTCCAAAGCTTGTAGAAAGACTATATTTTTGGCAGTTACTGTACATTTGGACGTCGTGGCACTTGGACGTCGTGCAACAACTCAAAAATTATGTTTTGGACGTCGTGGCACTGAATAAATGTTATTGGACGTCGTGGCACTTGGACGTCGTGCAATGCATCCTTAGTTACACAATAAAGTATACAATTTTATGGCCGTTAAGGTTTACTTATAGTTTTTTGCTGAATATACGTTTTATAACAGGTGGGCTTCAGTGCTTGTGACAGCGTGACCACACTAAAACTGATAGAGGGCGGAGTCCCTAGAGCCAAGTTTGCGATGATCGCTGTATTCCTCGTCCCTCTACAGATTGGACTGCCTCTGTTGCTATCGAAATACATTGTCGGGCAGACTCCATTGGATATGTACAGCCGTGTGTTTCCTTATAGGTTAGTTATGTTAGAAATAGTTGTTGAAGGTGCTTATGTAGAAGATAAGTTTTGATTTGTGAACAATTAGTGATGTTTTTATACCAAAATTGATCGACTCTTGATACAGATACCATTTTTACCTTAAAAAAATTTCTGCATGGATTGGTTATACTACACTAACCCTTGTCTTTATGCCCTTACCTTTCCTTACAGTAATTTTTGAGTGATGAGGTGTTTTCCGACTAAAAAAAAAACTAATGCAGCAATGAAAAATTTTAACTAGCCAATTCAAATTTAAACCCTTCTAAACTCATAATAGCCCAGGCAAATTAGACTTGTAGCTCCTAAAAATTGGGGAAAAGCTGGAAATTTGTTTAATCTGCTCTGCAGATCCTAAATAAGTTAAGAATGATTTTTCGGCGGATTCTGAAGTGAGCTAAGAGTATGGGAGGCAAAAACTAGGTTGATTTTGCTCATTTTTTAGTTTTTCGCTTACAACTCAAACACAGTGCATCCCACAAAAAAAGAGTTTACATACTTTTCTAAAGAACATTAAATTCAGCCTCGTATGACGTTAAAATCATTAAAATTGGTTCAGTCGTTCTGCTGCAACAGGTCGTCAAAGTTCAGTAATTTTAACAGAAAACTATAGCATACACTGCCATCTGGCGGAACACGCTGTAATCATCAAGAATAGGATGACAAGGAGAATGTTGTCCTGATATTTCTTTTGTTTGAAAGTTACCTTTTACTTGAAACAACATGTAGAAACGATAACTAGGTAGGTAGCGTGTCAAGTTTTTTTTCACAATATACAAAAACGTTATCGTCCTCACCTGCAATCGCAGCAATTGTGGTAATTTTCGATTGTGCGACCCTCCTAGACGCATCGGATATTGATATCGACTTTTTATGATCGATTCTCGATAGCGATACCTATGTCTAAGTATCGGTGGTATCGAGAATCGACACTTCCCTATTAACGATATAACTATGGGCACAAAGGCCGCCTAGGTGTTGAGAATTTTTTTCGGGCATATACTTGAATAGGAAAGAATCTATCTATCTACACTAGTTAATTAATTTAACAAGATTAAACACTTCAAGAAACTATCAGCGTAAAGAATGCTCTTTGGCTAATACAGTAGTAAAAGTTTTTGTTTTAAGATAGAGTATTTGTAAGATGTGTTACGATGTGTATGGGGCTGACACAATAAATTCTATGGGTTCTATCCTCAATATATTTTCCAGGTTAATATTCAACTTAGTGGCAGCTGCTTTTGTATGGGTGACACCTCGTCTTATCACGGAAGGGGACGTCCCAAACAGTTATACTGTTATACTTGTCATCTTATTTGGATTCCATCAGGTGAGATAGAAGTTTATAGGCTTATAAAAAAAACCCTACCTTTATGAGAAATCCTAAACTCTACCAAGCAGTTGATTGCATTTTAATTACTAAATAAATCATTTCTTTTAATTAGATGATCGGAAAAATAAATTATATCCAGTGTTATGAGTTATGTATTTGTATACAGTAGACTCCCTCTTATCTTATCCAGACTCCTCCACCCAAAGCCTGGATAACAGGTTTTCCAGTTAAACTGACGTCCCCAATAACTCGTTAAAAAACGGACCGATTAAATGCATACCGGTACTGTATACAGAATTTTACTTAAATTTAGGGAGCATTGTATTTAGACACAGTATCACTGGTCTCAAATCTTTCCCACGAAAACAGTTGTTTAGTGCCACCCACTTCCTGCCAATCTAGTCTGGTTAAAACGAGGTGGTGAAAAAATTTGTTGGGTTAAAGAGAAATCATTTCTGCCGAGTGTAGTCCGGTTAACCCGATGTCCGGTTAAAAGGTGTCCGGATAAGAGGGAGTCTACTGTACAGGCATTTAAGGTAAATAATTTTGAACTATGCTAAGATCCCATTGAACACTTTCAAAAACATGTGGAATTTGTGTCAACCTGGTGTATGTTTCAGGTGACTATGTACACGATGTTTGTGTCACAAATGGCGTTCTTTGCACGCATCAGTGACCCTGCGTACGGAGGAACATACATGACTCTTCTGAACACCCTCTCTAACTTGGGGACCACATGGCCTAACTCTCTTATCCTACTATTTGTTGACACTTTTACGTTCAAATACTGCTCTAACAATCCAACTAATACTTGTCTGAGGACGGATTTAATAGAGGTTAGTTTGCATTTGTTTTTATGTAGTACATTTCTCATAGCTTTTACAGTTGCAAGTCACTATAGCTTTTTCTTTAATAATAATATTCATTATATTCATGTTGGATGTTTTCCTATATTAAAGGCAAAGTAAAGTGAAATATTGCTTTTTAAATCTAACAATCACAGTTATAAGCATCAGAAAACTATATTTCACTACACTACTGTGAAATTACCTGTTTTCTTTAGCCTAAATGTTTATCACCTGAGAAAATGCATCATTACATTGTTTACTACAGCTAAAGAGTGTTTATTATGCAAAAGTAATGTTAACTATCTTTTTGGATTTTGCCGACGTAAACAAACAAAGATTTTTTTTTTGTCAACTGTTTAAATTTTCAACAACCAAAGTAAATATTTACTTCAAATTGAAGACATAATCTTTAAATGCTATGATTTTGTGATGTTCCTAATTGTAACGAAAAATATCCAATGTCTGTTTTGATTAAGAAAATAATTATTCTTTGTTGTATAGCAAAAAGTGACGTTCAAAACACAAGTGAAAGTGGGTCTATACATATTCTTGACCATTGAAAGTGCTCGATAGATCTCGCAAACACAGTAAACATAGTCGCAAATATGTAATGACTCACTTTCTCTACTCTGTTAAGAAATATAATATTTTAAATCCAATTAAACATTAATTTCACATAATATTCAATAAATATATTATATTAGTTTAGTAGATGACTACTGCCTTGTATTAGGTCCTGATATGTCAATCAATAAATTTTCTTATAAGTAATGTAATTAGTTCACTCAGACAATGGGCCCAATAACTCTATCTGGAGTAAGTAAGACCCTGCATACTTAGACTTCTTGAACTTCGGTGCAAGGGAGATCCCCAGCACAGTCACAAAACTTTGAGGGATTTCTACTGCTTTTGCTAGAAAGTATTAAGGTTATTTCAAACAATATGCCACTGGCATGGACACTAACACATATCTAAAGTATATTAAATTTGTCTAATTTGTTGTCCGTACTTAATTCTTAATATTTTATATATGTAATTAGTAATTTTTCAAAAAGGTACATCGTTGTGCATTAAAAATAATTAAAAACTTGTTACCTCTTGTGTCAGTAAGATATCTTAAATATTTTAGTTTTTAAAATGAGGTATGACTATTTAGGTACCTTACTCTTAAAGTTTGTCATTGTTTTTTACAGGCTTGTACGAAAGATGAAGGCTTCTGTCTTACGTGGATTGACGGTTACTACATTCTCACTCTGTTGTGTACATTATATGGTCTACTATGGCGAAGGTATTGTAACTGCTTTCCTACAAGTTCTCACTATCTATCATTAGTTAAGTCTCGTATAAGGAAAGGTTCTAGGCCAGGATTGGGATGTTTATAACAAATGGATGACGGCTAATCGCAAAGCTGCGCAGTGTGAAATTATTAGTTAGGATTTTTGTTAGGTTGAAATATCATCCCTCATAGTTCCGGCACTGAAGAAGACTCAGAAAACACACAATATTTCACCATCAGGGGGAGTAAAGATAAGATATAGTATATAGTTATTTGTGTAACTAGTGGGCGAAGTGGCACTTTGCTGCACACAAGAGAAATGTTAACACATGAGCCGTAGGCGAGAATGGAAAGTTTCTCGATTGCAGCAAAGACAGTTTGCACTCGTGTTACACATTATATTTTTCCTGCAGTTACTATAAATCTAAACATATTAAATGCAAAGCCCTCACTGACTGACTGACTCACTTTCTCACTCACTCACTCATAATTAATTCTCCTACTTCCCATTTACCTAGAATTCTGAAATTTGATACACTGATTCTTTAGGCATTACCAAGGAAAACCAAGTAGTTTTTATTCTGATCAGACTTTCAGGCTCCACCCCAGGAGCTCTGGACTGGAGTTTCCCATGTTACCCTAATGATTTTAATTATTTAAAATAGCATTATAAAGTTACAAGGTTTACTAACAGGGAGCAGTACTATTAACCCTCCGAGTGTCACGTGTTTTGGCCTTAATGTCAGCCTATTTTTTGCTCATTTGCAAGATTTTATTAAAACTGATCTGAGAAGCTTAAAAACAATGTTAATTATACTGTTCTATATACCATTTTGTTTGGAAAATCTTGGGCTTCAATATTATATATAAAACATAAGGAAGATTTTTTTAAAAAAATTTTTTTAGGTAAAAAAATGTATAATTTCGAAAATTTAAAAAAAAAAATAAGTTTGCGCTCAATGAAATTGTATAAATTATAGGCCTATAAATATTTGAAAATAGCCACTTTGTTCTAAATTTTATGAGGATTACAAATATATGATAATATAAGGAAGTAGATTTGCAAATAAATAAGTTATGGGCAAAAATCAGATTTCAGTACATAGCGTTTAGCTAAGAATGCATAGCCCAACCATAGCTAGGAATCTGGCTGATAATTTACATCAATATCACTACCTACTTCTTCAGGATCATCAACCAGCACTTCAAAACCACTTAAATCTTCTTATAATGCACCACGTATATCACTACTTTTGATTTTTAACACTAAAACAATGATAAATGTAATAAAACACATCAGTCATCGGTCCGAGGGTAACCTAGCTGTTTACAAATACACGCACGTCAGCTCAGTCAGCTGTCTGCTACAATATTTTCGGAACTAAAATGAATAGTGCTTAGAGACAGACCTAGGAGAAAGCTTAGAATATTACGGAAAGAACGATACCTAACTCAATCCAGTACAGTCCGATTCAGTTAGTCATAGAGCCTTCGCCGTAAACAGTGTTCGCGAGTCGCTGTAGCGACGCACGACACTATACAAAGTGCGTTACGCGTCGCTGCAGCGACGCATGACACTCGGAGGGTTAACTTTTTGTTTGAATTTATGATAACGGCAACAATAAGCTGTGATAGACAATGAGAACTGTCAAATAGTTGTTGTGGTATTGTGTGAAAAGGGTAATTTTATTTTTAAATGCATAATTCATCATCTTATTGACTTTATTTTTTTTTTCAATTTTTATAAAAAAGTATCGTGTTTTCTCTAAAAAATAATGTCTGGGAAACGGAGTAGCAAGTTATTATTTTTAGTGCATTACTGATCAAGTCAATGACTTGGATGGAAGGAACTAATATTATGGATATGAATGTTTGAAGTATGTCTATAACGTGAAAACTACTTGACTTGGACTGATTTCTTTCACGAATAGAGCCAATTTAACCACAGGCTTATTGAAGATAGTCATTTTTATTTCAATACTCTCCTAGGGCCCAAATACTCTCTGACAGCTTATTAAGTCCAATGTTGTTCATCGAAGTGACCTATGAAAAGCCACTTGAAATGCCACCCAACCCGGTACGGCAATCAATAGTTTTATTAATAATTATGGAGTCAAACGAGGCAAAGCCCGCAGGTACAGCTAGTCATATATATAATTAGTCTTTCAAACACTGTACAACACGTTTTTAGGTTAGGTTAAATCCAAACATTGAACAAAATGGGAAACCCTGCACCAGCTGATCGTAGTTGTAATATCTTAAAGCGTTGCCAACTTATTTTCAAGCGTACATGGATTACGTGCATAATAAAAACACGCTGTTTTGTGTTGTTTGGTTGGGATACTGGTGTGCGCCAAAGTAAGGCTCTCTGTATCTTTGCAAGGTAGCCCACTTTGTCAGGTGACTATAGGGAAAAGAGATTTGAAAAAATTTTTGCTATCAAGTTAAAGCACAAAAATAAACATTAAAGACAAAGATATTTACTAGTAGAAGGTTGTTTGTATGATTTTTGTTACAGATGGGGCTGTAAAGCTACCAGACAGTTACAAAGAAGAGACCTGAACGACTGGAAAGTATCTCAGAGAGACAGATAGCAGTCAAGCCTAGTCTAGTGATTACCTTATGTTGGCAAACTCACATTACCTCATGGAAATGGTATATGTTGTATCTACTTACTGCAAATTTTAATATTTTAATACCTACTCTTGAAAAGGTTAAACTGTCAGAAATATAGCCTTCATTTACGTTACCGGTATCGGTATATAGTAAACAAATTGTACTATGGCAAATTGTACTATGGCCTAGTGTGAATTTTTGACTCGACAATTGAAATATTTACTAAACAGGAGTTAAAATTGGCGAAATGATTACTGTATAACAATGTAACTGTGTAAAATAAACATAGTAGTTTAAAACAGAAAATTACCTGTTAGTGTTGTGGATAAGGCTAAACACTGCTTTAATGTCAGACCGACAGCTCAAAACAATTAATTTGGTTTTGCATTAGGTATTTAAATTTTGTTTTGAGCCCTAAAAAGGTGTGATAACTCAATTTCAGATTTTTTGTTGTATTCAAGACAACAGTTTAAAAATAGTTTTACATGTGGGCCTATACTATTTGAAGTTCGAGGGTGGAAGGTGCTTCTCTCCGGGGTTCTAGGCCTTTAATCTTGTTTCTTCTTATCAATTGGTTTGGTTTTCAAGCCAAGCTCTCTATTCTCCTGTTGTATGATTGAGTGGGGAGTAATTGCTTAAAGTGATGGTAACTTTTTCTTACCCCATTTTGATATTGGAGTAAAACAGAGAACTTTATTATTTGTCTCTTAACTACCAATCTTAATTTGCCCATTTGCTTCAATCTAAAGAAAAATACATCTGGAAGAATTCACATAAAAATAGTTAATGCAACGAAATCTGTATACAAATACAGTGTTTTAAAATACATTTTGGGTTTGCCACCATAATGGTAATATTAACTGACTACCTTTGTAAGTACACAAGTGGTACAATGGTCCAAATGTTTGCTAATGCACTCTGCAAGGATTTTACTTTTTATCAATTTCACTGACAGAATTGATTATCTCAGTTTTTCCATTGATTGTCGGACTCTATGTTCAATGGTGGCTGTGGTGTGATAGCTTATTGTGGAACTATTTATTGTTGTTTTGCACTGTACTAGTTTACAAATTTTAAATAATGTTTTAAAGCAATATAGTTTATTTAGAATAAAATATTTTTCTAAGTTATACTTTTTATTTTTTTTTGTTGTATTACAACCTCAAAGGATGGAAATATTTTAGTTGTTGCTTGCTGTAAAATATCAGATTACAAAAACAATTCTTTAATTTAATGTTAGTTGTTTACTTAGTTATAAAAATCAACTAGTAGTGTACATAATTGTTATGTACTATTTACTTATTTGTTATTTAGTATGCAATTCATTTATTATATTACAAAGAGTTGCTCTACTAATTTAAATATAATTAATTAACATTTGAAATTATTTTGGTGGTATTTAAATTTACCATTTTAAGTATTTAGTCTTTAAAGACGATAAACACAATAGACCTACTGTAGCCTAATATAGATATAATAAAATAAATACTTCTTACAATACCTTTTTGGAATATTCATTTGAAAATATTTTTACTTTTTTTATTAATTATGGATTGAATTCGGTAGCATGCAACCGAGAAAGAAATAATATTTCTTAAATAAGGCCAATCCAATTCAATCTATTCATATATTATATTTGTAATTTTTTAATATTATTTATAGAAATGAGAATGTACGGCAGCAGGAATGATATTTGTAAGTTGTTTATTTTTTAGAAAATATTTTGGTTGTTTTCTTTAATTTTTACATTAATTTTCCTTAAGGGTGTTTATGCTTAGGTAGAAAATCAGTTCTTTACCGTACATTTTAGTTGTGTTTTTTTTTTCTTTTTCTGTAATAGAAAGGGATCAAACTTAACTGTGATTTCCTCCAACCTACACATTTTTCTTGTATGAAGTCAATTGTAATGGTAGTTATGGTTTTCCAGCTTGTGACCATACCTTTTTACAAATTAATATCTGGCTTATATAATAATAATTCATTAAATTATTTAACTAAAAAATCATTTATAGAAAGCTTTTTACGGTTGTTTTTTTTTTTTTTTGGGAATTTTATTTGTTTATTGTTAAGTAATGTTTACTTTACCCGTCTGACTTGATGCTATTAGTTAACATTGCCCACTTAACTTGTGTATGGAGGCATTTTGCAAAAACAACAATTTGATTCACTGTACTCAAGATTATTTGTAAGGATTTTACTTCCTATATATTTTTAACGGATTTGTAATAGTTACATTTGATTATTGTTATAATTTACAATATGTAGGCTAGCTATACGTTTAAATATTGGTACCTGAATGGTATAAGCTTATACATTACAATTGCATTGTAAAATAGCATTTTGAAAAGTTATCTCTGATTTTTATTCCATTCCATTTACATTCTTAGCTACTCTGTTGCATATTGTAGTTTTCTGAAATGTTTTTTTACTGAAAGAATAAGTTGTTTTTTGGGTTTAGTTTGTTCAATGTTGTTTTGGTGTTATTTATTGTATTATCAGTATTTTAGCACAAATAACTTAATTTACTGAGTGTGCAATGTGATCATTTATGATTTTTCTGATCAAGTTTGTTGTTGAATTAAAATTGTTTAATTTTGTACATGGTTTTTAAATACCGCCTTTGGTCCAACTAATACAACTTTGGTTAACTAATACAATTTCTAGAAGATTCAAAAATCATGTATTTAATAGTGGTCTAGATTTAAAAAAAATTATAAAGCCCTAAAACTCCAATTACTAAAATGGTGAAACTAATGTTTAAATATTATGATTTCAATTGTTTGAAGTAATGTATAAACATTAATGTGTTTAAAAGACAACAAAATTATTCATCATTTTAAATTCAAACTAAATCTCTGAAAGATAACATGTGTATACCTACTGTAACTTTATTGTCTTGTTATATCAATAGACATTCAATCCCCATGATAAAGTTGTCACCAATTATAAAATCTTAATAGATGTGGTTAAAGTGAGCCGCTGATTTAAATTACTGATTTCTGATGAGTATGCAGGCTTTTATCCTAATCACACTGATAGGACAACTTATTGAAACCTAAAGCATCTGTAATGCCCCCATCAACTATCTCGGTTACAAATAATAAGGACGGAAGTAGAATTTTACACACTAGCACAATCTGTTGCTGCTGGCTATAGAACTATGTTTCATTTTAATAAAAAAATGTGACAGCTTGTCCATATAGCTAGAATGTTAACTTGAGTATGCAACAGTCGATGATACAATAGGCCTTCGTTGGCCAACTGCTGCATTAATTGATTTGTAATTTTGGAATTAAAGTATCAATACATGCATGAATCGTTTATTGCAGAAACCCCATAACCAACATTTTTGCAGTTGTCTGATTTCTACACCTAATAATGTATTTCAATTTGTTCATCAATAATATACTAAAAATTCAAAATTTAAAAAAATTGGCTATAGGGTTTCTGCAATAAACGATTCATATATTCCCATGTTTATTTGTTTTTCATGAAAGCAACTTCAACAATCAACAAATCAGACGATAAAGAGTTAATAATGGTAAAAGTACCTAACTAAGTATTTTATTTGTCACAAAACAGTTTTTTTTTGTGACTCAACCCAAAAATAGTCAATTTACGTCCTAGGGTGAAAATAAAATATAATTTGGGTATATAAGCTGTAATTGTCTTTCAAAAACATTTTCAATTTATTTATCCCTGTTCAGTTTTCTCTCTAGGGTGCCAAAGCTCCCCTGCAGTTGACCATGCCTACCTGTTATTAATATTTGGATCCAAATAGATGGACCACCAGCTAAGATTGGTTCCTAAACAGGTTGTGGCATTATCTCATTGCCGAAATCATTTGATCGTTGTGGGAATTGAGACCAGGCCATCTGGCTGATGGTCTTCTAAAATCGTAATTAAAACCTAATCTGATTAAACCCAATTACATTAAACTTATTAAATGAGCGGTAAATGAAAGATCACACCGCCTGTCACCAAACCTATGGTATCTAAGGTAATTGTGATCACTACCATCCACAGGTAAAAATTAAAAGCTTGTGTCAATTAGGGTGGCATATGAGAGGGATGAGGGAACAATTAGCTAGAAACTGGAGGTAGGACTGGCCCGGTAACTCTTTTAGAAAATCAACATTCTGTACAACTTTTTTATGATGGAACCAACTAACAAATTTGGGAATTTGTCCCTATTCCCCCTGATTGAGTAGAAATGACGGCAAACATCTCCAGCTCAATGTGAGAGAACAACACCCAATAACACTGAGTCACACCACTAGAAGCAAATGGCACTAAATTAATCTAACTCCTGCTCGGTGGTGTGACAACAGGACTGAATTTTATCTGGTCCGCAGGAGGGTTCCATGCGGACAATTTCAGGGGTGCAAAAATAGGACTGAGCAAATTCTCCCTAGCCAAGTCGGTTTCTTCCCGTTCCCCTGCGGTCACCTCCCTTTTCCCTACCTATACACATAAAGGCAAGAGAACTGAACAAAATGGAGTCATTCACTAGGTCGCTGGGAATGGATCACCTCATGGAATCGTTCGCCGTCTTTTCAAAGAGAATTGTTCAGATCAAGACAGAAATTTCCTAAACTAACCTCAGACTATAAATATAGTTGTTACAATATTATCCTACTAATATTATAAATGAGAAAGTTTGGATGTATGGATGTATGGATGTATGTTTGTGACAAGTGAACGCGAAAAATACTGGTTGGATTGGGCTGAAATTTTGAATGATGATAGCTCACATTCCCGATTAACATATAGGCATATTCTTATTTCAAAAATCCTTTCGAGCTCCGCCCCAGTGGCTCTGGAGTTTCCCATGTTAACCTTATGAGAAATGGAATTATTGAATCTTAACAGCTGTTTCAATTAAACAAGTTGGTTCTGTTCTATGATGTTCAATAGCATTAAAGTTACAAGGATTACCAACAGGGTGCAGCACTATTATTTCTTTTACATTTATGACAACAGCTAATTTGCAACCAAAAGGTGAGTGAGCGTAGCGAACGAACTTCAACCTGGAGGCGAGTTAGCGTAGCGAACGAGCTAACCTGAAGGCAAGTGAGCGCAGCGAACGAGCTCCAACCTAAAGGTGAGTGAGCGTAGCGGACGAGCTCCAACCTAAAGGTGAGTGAGCGTAGCGAACAAACTTCAACCAGGACGTGATTGAGCCATGCGAACGAGATCATCTTGAAAATTAAGAAGTTAAACGGGGCAAAGCCCGCGGGTTACAGCTAGTTATTATATAAAAAGGCAATTATACCTGTTTTAATTTTTTTTATATAGAAAAGTGCTGACAAATGTACACAGGGTAAATATTTCCGTGAACCCCCACTAGTTTACTCTGAGTCCAGGGTTAGGGTGATGTGAATTTCCATGGTTAGGCAGGGAGAAAGTGGAAATATAATTCCACTCAGTCCTACTGTCACACCCTTAGAAAATGCTACATGACCCAGGTCAGATTCAGTTCTGTAGTCGCTTACCCTTGTGCAGTACATATCCCCAACGTGGACGTGTCCACTAAGTTTACAAGGATGAGTATACAGCATATTTTTTTCTACTATTTTCTATACCTCTAGGATGCATTATGACAGTACTTATGACCAAGCAAATGGCTATTAGACTAAATTAAGGGAAGTATTTGTCTCATCAATATTAGGTAGGCCCTACTATAAATTAATTCATCCGAACTCCTCTAAGCCGCAGCTTCCTTTTAAAACGGGTAAACATAATAACAAAAAAGTTAAGTTACCAACTCTCATCTTATAGGCTAACTTCTTTGAGTAACAAATGCAATGTAAATATGTTTAACTAAAGTTCCAGTAGAAAGCAATGATGGAAAAATCTTTTTACCTAAAAAAAAACCTTGCGCTGGTGTAAACAGCTGATCAAGGCTGTTTGATCGTACTTGGCGGAAAATTCGTGTGTTGGCGGAAGCTGACCTGGATTTGCCGGGAACAGTGGCTTGTTGCAACATATTGGTTGGGCCTTGAACCAACATCATCAGGTTTTCCTTTTTATTATGACTAACTGGGCGGCTCTGCCTTGAAGACCAGACTGAGTCAGTGAGTCATATGACCCCGATTAATCTTTTGTTTCTCGTGAGCTGAATTTTATTTTTTTAGCTCCACACCAAATCATTGTTGAAATGGAACCTGTCAATTCGTCTGAATATTCTTTCAACTCTGTTATAGCCAATAGTCATCGTCTACTAAGTACTTACATTCGAACAAGCGGAAATACTGTTACGTCACAGCCAACAATGAGATGTCCAAGATGGCGGCGCCGGAAGTGCCATAACCAAACAGCTGATAACAGTGTAAACACAAACACGGGCATCCCAGCGAGTCTATCCTTGGCCTGGATCGTTGCTCTAGAGTTTAGGTTCCTTTAGTGTTCTACTGATTATTTTGATATCTTATCCTCCGAACCTGTCTCAGGTTTTGTGGAAGAGTGAGGAAACATGCGTAGGTTTACTTGTTTGTCTAGGAGAAAACCTGTTTGTAAAAAGATAGTCTATCAAAGTAGAAACGCAAGGTCGTTAGATTTGTCATGGATCTGTGACTTAATTGGTTCTAGTTTAGCATATCCTCATTATGATTCAGTTTGATAACTCCAGGATTGCGTTTTATCATAGCCTGTACTCTAAGAGCTATTTCTGTCTGTCTGTCTGTATAATATATCTCGAATTCCAGCGGAAGGATTTTTACAAAATTTTGGAATTAGCGACTTTTAGTCATAAAAACGTGATTTGTGAAAATGTTTTACACAACTCATTTGAAAATTTAAAAATTCAACATAGGCCTTATGGGCTGCCAAGCAACTAAAGTGGTTGAACAAAATAACAAGGAAAAAGTAAAAAAATGATTTGTCACATGTGTTTATAACAAGCCATCCACAGTACACTAGCAAATTACTAAAAAACACATCAGTTGTAACTATTGAGCAAAGATTACACTGAAGATTGATCGATATAGGGTTAAATCATAGATGTTAAATATAGTGTCGATCATATACTGATTATTTTACTTAGCCGTATTCCACCAAAACTTAATCTCCGAAGTGCTGCTGAGGCATTCCAAGTAAACTAATTACATCTGGGGGGGGGGGGTTAATTTGCATAAAACTATTACCATATGCTGAATTCCAATAAAAAAACAGTCATAATCTCAAGTGGAAAAGTGAAAAGTCGTTGTCAAAAGCCGTTTTGTAACTACAGTAATATAATTTTGTTTATATCATATTTTTATATCTGCTGTCATAATTGCATTTCAATTAGTACCTAACAGAATCTTTAAAATAATTTTCTATACAACAACACTAGTTGTCAACGCAGAGACGTAAACGAAATGACCCTGCAACGTCTTTGTTTACAACAACCACACCTTAAAAACTACAGACACTTCCAACAATAAAATTCAAATCCAGAGCCTTGAGGTCCAGCGGCAGTTTGGGATTCCCCCACGATAACACCGTCTTGACCGCCTGCCAAACCTTGACCATTGGTGGGAGTGAGAGAGGAGATGAGAGATCACACAGTTCAGGAAGTGAAGTAGTTTCCTCAGACCTAAACACAACTTCCTACAC